AAAAGAAAGTTCAAATATAAAAGAGAATAGCAGCAGGGATGAAACTGATACTATATAATCCATCCATAACTTGTCGGCGGGGTCGTGTGGGGTGGGGGCTGGGTGCACTAAGCAAAACAAAAAAAGTAGATGCGAAGAATATAAACAAATGTATAAATCACGAGGAGAGGATATTTAGAGGTCTGGCGAGTCGAGGGCGTGCGGACAAAGTTTATTTTGTCAGTCGTTGTGCTTGGCTAAGCTCTATTGCCATACGCAGTACTGGTTTCAGCATATCTTTCTTAAAATGGTTAAAGCATGAAAAGTTTTTAGTTAAGTTAATTTAGTAAAGTTTAGTAATTAAGCCAGGAAAGTTCCGGAAGGACTACTAAAACTGTAAAATCCATCATTTGCACAACCGTCATGTCCAACGTAAATAAATGTAAATTTTATTTTTATCATACGTGTTTAGGGTATTCTCTCCGAGGCGAGTACTTAGTAGCTCGCGAGAGCGGCAGGAACTTGCGATTTCCGAGATCCTTTGCTATCGCAGGAGCGTTGTCGCGGTGCGGGCGTCGCGAGAGGGCAGGTGGGGGGCGGGGGAGGGGCAGAGGCGGCGGGCGGCAGCAGACGCGTCGGCACCGGGCGCCAGTACGCGCCGCGCCGCTTTAGCGTCCACTCGTGTATTGTTGTAAGTGCGCAAAAGTGCGAAGCAGTGTGTCGTGCGAGCGACGAGCGCAAGTTGGAGTCTGCGTCGCGAGTGGGGCGGCAGTTAGTTGGGAGCGCGATGCAGTGCAGGTGAAGCATGGCCCTGGCGGTGGCGCTGGCGGCGGCGCTGGTGGTGGCGGGCGGCGCGGCGGCGTGCGGGCCGCTGCCAGCGGGATGCGCGTGCGGCGAGGCGGCCACCAGGCTGCGGTGCCGTGCCGCCGCCCTGCGCCACCTGCCGCCGCTGCACGCCCGCCTCCTCGACCTGTGAGTGCCACACGCCAAGTACCAACTACACCCGACACCCCGCGCGCACTACGCACTACGCTGAACCCACATCAGTCCACATTCGTTGATGTCTTTTACTTGCGTCCACGTAGACTTTCGATAAGTTTTATTTCGCTTTTGCGATAATCGTAAATACTAAATTTTGTTTACACACATCTGCATACACTCATGTTAAGTAATGTCATACTTATTGAAACTTCGATTCCGCAAGCTATCATTGCGATCTTAAGCCTAACTATTTTGATGGTTACAGAAACAAATAACCGATTTATTTGTCGTAATATACTGTATTCCTCAGTGTAATGTAAAATAAATCATTATTTAACACTATAACTTGCCGATGAGAAAGTGCAAATAAGCGTTGAGCGTTGCCTGGGGCTTATTTACATTCAGCTCAGTGCCATCTGATTGCGAATGTTTGGAAAATCCTCGAATGCAGTAGGCGCCGGTGGCGGAGTGGATGGCGGTGGGACCCGGCCGCGCTCCCACCCACACACACACACACACGCGCATGCTCACACTGCACTCACACAACGCCGCGCGTCCGTGTGCAAGTGCACTCCTTTCGCGATAGTACTCGACCCTAATCTCGCGATAACTACTATTATGTAGGCCAATAGACATGTGCCGATACATACTATAATTTTGCACGTAAGCCCCCTAAACTTTATTTGTTACAAAAGATTCTATACATTATGCTCCTCGAATTCCATAATATTTAAGTAAATTAGTTAAAAATAATTGATATCTAAAATTAACTAATATTATCATATACGTGCAGAAACACTTAAATACAAAATTGTGTACATTTTTTGATGAAAATTACTTTGAATCAATACAGGAAAATCACAATTTTGTAAAGTAACATAATGTTTGTAAAGGGAAATGTATACAGAAGGTCCGCGATGACCTAGCGGTTGGGGCTTCGAAGCGCAATCAAAAGGCCGGTGTTTCTATTCCCAGTGAAGTCCACCGATAAGTATTCCACTGTAAATCTGTGAATTCAGTCACATTATAGCCTCTAATTCAAGTACGGCGACATGGGTGACAAATTATAACGTAGCCACTGCGGACAGCGGGCATACAAATAAGGGTTACTCACTAGGAATTGATCGTATTTAATTGAATTCGATACAAGAATTCATTCGAATGGAAACATTAGGCGCCAAGGACTCATAAACTTATATTTAATGTTATCCGTTAACCAAGACTTATTATGTATATATTTCAAAATCTAATCAGCCATTTAAAAAAATGTTTGACACTAATCGATAATGCCACCATAACCATACCTACTAGTAAGAGACAAAATTTCCTTCCTCCAATGTATTCATTGTTACTGGCTAAAAATAAACACATAATAATACTGCAAAAGAATAGGAACGCCTCGACGAACGAACGAAGATGTTAGAGATATGATCAAAATATTATGGCCGTGTCAACCTCTCGGATGCTAACGCTACGAGTAATACTCATAGTATACGGTACGTGCACTTTGAGCGATCGCCAACAGGGCTATTGAATGAGCGATGCACGGGACGGGCTTTCCTTTCACAGTGGAAATACTATCCGTTTTATTTCAACTGTCACAAACACATGTTCACATTTCAAACAAATACATGACACGTAAATGTACTCCCGTTCGTTTTTAACTACCCGATTGCCATAGTGGACAGTAGATCTTTCGCTTGCGCCAGAGGAAGGTGATTCGATTCCCACCACTAAAACATGTTATGTTTAGTGTTTTTCAGGTGTCTGCTTTTCTATATATTCATACAGTATGTAATGCACGTTTAATATATAAGATAACGTTGTGTATTAATTTGTTATGAAATATTAATATGAGTAGGGGATATTAATGTTTATAAAACATTATTATTATTTTCGTTAATGACTTTATTCTTCTCGGTTTACAACGTTAAAACGGGCCGAATACAAGTAATGCGCATAGATATAGAGTTGCTTATGAAATTGGGAGACAATTCCCTGTCTGAATCTGTATATAAATATTTCTTCACAATTCTACATGTATTTAAAATGACCGCTTTTTGTAAATTAGTGTGAATATAGGGAGGAAGTCTAAAGGCTTGCTGGAATGGTACTGTTGTTTAGGGATAACGCTACTATTATTTATGTTATTTCTACTTTGAGTTCCACATATTTTTCATGTTCCTCAGTTATAACTAGTACTTTGCAGGTTATGAGTATTGGGGACAGTTATATCTATGATTGTTGCAGTTTTATTTATTTTATTTACTATTGTTATATCAGGCCAATTGTAGTGCGACAATATTAATATTATGGGGGGATATTTATTTATTATTATTATTTACTTACAATGTATAAAGTAAAATACATAGCAGTCACAATGTGTAAAACGAATTTGGATATCCAAACTTTTTATTTATTTCCATACAAATAACCCGCCACGCCACGGGTGTTATCGTGAATCTTTCATAACCTGGAGGAATCACATATTGCAAATAATAACAATAGTACCAAGTATATTTACCTATAATAGTAGTACCTAATATTTCGTGAGCCTTCAGCCAACTACTCGTCAGCCCTGTGGCCAAAGTGCGCGGCCGCTCTCACCGCCCGAGGGCGATTGAACACCTCCGAGGCGGGGCGGTTGTTTGTGGTCGCCACCGGATTCAATCGCCCGCTCATTCAATCGTACCTTCGTAGGAGCTGTCACATCGGACTGGCAATCGCCAAGTGGGTGCCGGCGAGGCTCCTCTGTCGGCCAACTCCCTCCCTCCCCCTCCCTCGCCCTCCCTCCGCCTGCCCCTCAGCCCCGCGCGCTGCTCCCGCGCGGCGTCTCGTGTCGACTGCTGCCTTATCACGGCGCGTCAATCACTCTGCATGCCTCTGACATTCGCGACCTCTATAATTTCCCAATCGTTAAGTTGCTTGTTTGTTTCTTTCCACGCTAAAAAAATAATTGTATCACGTAGGTAAACTGAATTTGGATTTTTTGGAATTGTTTTGAATCTGATGACTCCGTGGCGCAGTTGCCAAGGCTTGGTTTCAGCGGCGGGGGTCGTGGGTTCGTTTCGCATCTGGGTGTTTGTCCGCGTGAAATTTATGTTTGTAAAATGTCCTTACCACAAAGGATCATGTTAGCGATGTGAAAAAAAGAAAAAAAAATTAAAAATTAATTATTCTTGGTTTATTTAGCTGTTCATTATACAGGTCGCCCGCGTAAAATAAATTTAGCAAAATATAGTAAAGAATAAAAAATATGACCTTAAATAATAGATATTGGGATGAATGTGTGCGTATATATTATGGACATAATATTATTTCCGCGGCTCGGGTAGTGCACAGGGCGCCAGAGGGGCCGGCGTTTCGCGGGGGGAGGGTGGTGTGACGTCAGCGCGCGACACCCGCCGCCGGACAGTGAACCCCGAACCAATTATTACGTGCATTGTGACAGCGAATGGTTTTGTTACGTTTAACTTACACCTTAACATCATCTTACTGGCCCCAAGAGGTCTCGCGTTATTTCCACTTCATAAAACAAAGCTATGTGGTCATCTTCTTTCATCTTCTACGCATTAATTTATAAGTATTTTCTTTTCCTATAAACATCCGACGATCCAAACCATACTAAAATAGATAACTACTAACTGCCTGATTAGTGGAATATTTATACAAAAGAAACATCTCACAAAAATAGATGTCAGTACAGTTTTTATTTATTATTATAATTATATTATATTAAAGCTTGATCGTAAGTGATCGTAAGTATTTGTTATCTTAGCATAATAAACTGTTAAATATATTTTTATAAACCTATATCGGCAAAACAACCATTAAAATTATAAAAGATAGGTTCGAGCCGGTTATCAATCTAAACTCTAAATAAAATTAAATAAATAAAAACTATTCTCTACTCGTGTAGAAAATCTATTAAGTTGCGCTGCACACCTGAAATTGAAAATAGAAATAAGAAAATAAGGGGATTACATAAGCAAGTAACGGTCAGGCAACTTGTAGATTTAGCGATGCTAGTCGTAGTGAATCGCAGCTCCGGTGTCCTCCCACCGCCACCGCGTCGACGTCCTCTTGGAGGATAATTGGAGCAAACAAATCGATACGATCTTCCTGCGAAAGCTTTCAAAACAACACTACTTTATCTTAATTCTGGTTCTGATATAAAAACCCCCTTGGACAAAATTGGTTACGGAAAGCTCATAAGCTAATAAACGTAATTAGTCATCATTAGCTATCGTAATTAGCAACCGACGCGTATCTGTGGCAATTAAAGGACCTCCTAGCGTTCGGTCTCACATTAGCAGAATAGCATCCATTTGATTTACGCTCGTTGCGGGCAATTTAAGTTTTATTTCAGTCGGCTGTACCTTGCACCTACCAATACCTTAGTTTCGATTCAGCTAAAACCCCCATCTTAGAAGGCGAAGCCCTTCAAACTTCTTTTTTCTTTTCTTCAAACAAACATTAGAAATGTAATCCACTTAGTGCTACTAGTGTGCTTCTTGTGCTATTTTTCCTTCTCATCCATAATAATAATAATAATAATAATTCTTTATTTCAGGCAAAAGCCCATAGTAATAATCGACAAAAATTCAAATTAATAATTAAAAACTAGATTTAAACATTACACAAACAATTAATTACATATAAACCACATTAATTTTTACTTATCTACATATATACATATATATATATATACTGTTTTCACTACTTATTCTAAAAGCTGATATTACAATAAAAATAAAACTAACTAAAATTTAAAAATGTAACTTAAATAGAATAGCAAATCAAAAAAAAATCGAAATTGTAATTATAATAATGGAATAAACGAAATATACAAATAGAAAACAAACATAATTATTTTATCGCTAAAAAATAGCGTACTTAATATTATAAAGCAAGATTAAAGCAATTCGTAAGAATGTGTAGAATATAGATACTCGTATGTTTTCAGTGGTATGTCATAACGCCGGAGTTGCGTCACGAGACGGGAATCGGACGGGAAAGCGGCGTCGCGTCGTCCGTTGTGCATTTCCTGTCGCTCCTCTGCCGCTATATATATACGGCCCGGCATCGCTCGTTAATCAGAGAGCGACCTAGATTGTCACCCTGGACTCTCGCACTCCTCGAGCACGCTCGTTTCGGAATGCCACGCCATTAATTACGCACATAGCGCCCTTATCGCGCACCGTCGCGGCTGTTTCTAAGACGCCCGAAACGGAGAACCGGTCGCCGGCGACCGGGCTCACTTTTTCCACAAATCGCCCACCACTTTATCATAATGAGCAATTTTCTTTTTTATATTTATGTCAAATGCAATTATAATTATGATGAGCCTTTTTCTTACCTTCTTATTTTTGGAATAAAAGCTAATGAGTTTCAATAAAGGAAATTAATTTCCAGAATGTGTAACAAAAATGCTATATAATTCCGCTAAATGATTAAAGTCAACCGGGTCTCAACCTCAACTACTGTTTGCATTAGGTAGCCGTTCGAGTTCTAAAAATATAATTATACTAATTTTATAAAAATGTAATTTGGCCTAGAACAGCATAGCCGCGTAAATACGCCGTCGATCTGTACAGAGATCGGGACACATTTATAAATATAGATTGAACATCGGGACGTGAGAAGGGACGTGTCGTCCGCTCGTGAGAGGAGCGCGCGATCCCGGCCGGCACCCTCGAGATGGTGCAACGGCTACGTCAGTGTCAATTGGATATTTGGTAATTGTTATTGACTAAAATAAAACAGAAAATAAGACGTAATAAAATAAAATACATACACGTCCAAAACTATTTCAAATAGTCACCGTTAATTACAAAACTTTACTTTTAAAAATCATGCTTAGTCATTTGTTGAAAGCTTTCTTATCACCAATGTGCCGTGGTGGCTCAAATTTTGGGCGTTCCGATTTAAATTCATTAAACTACCGATATCACTTTCAATTCTGGTGCCCGTTACAAAAAAAGAACTCTTCAAATTATTCACTACTCTGTTGACTACCTACGAAGAATATTAATAGGGAATTGTAGGTAAATGTATGTACATATATGGAAACCACACCGCTTGATCTCTACACATGCTCTTCAAAAGTATGTGTGCATTTCATCGTAAGAAAAATGTGAAAGCACAGCTCCACACGCACTGAAGGGCTCGCGCTTTGATTCACGCTTTGCCAGTCTAAAGAATCACCGCACCTTTTAAAGAACACCTTGCAGCTCTGGACGGTCCCTGTCCTGTACCATGAATATGTTTTGATAAATAGAAAGAGGGTAAAGTGCTTCTTCTGGCGACGAATGAATCTATACGTTTCGTTTTGAAGGAATTAAAGGCATCGCACTACCTGATCTTTGTGGATAAGTCTCTCTGAACTCACCTCAGCTTTGTCCTCGTTCACGTTCTCATTTATAGTAAAAGTAAAGTAAAGTCGAATTCAGATTCAAACATCTTTATTTATTATACTACTACCGGTTCGAAAAAAAACCACTGACCTGAGAGGAACTGGAATTTGTGTTTGCGTATACTATTATTTTCGGTACTATTCTTGTTTTAGTTAGTCACGGGTTACACTGGCAACCTTTCAGCTTTTGGACCTAACTTTTGTTAGCTATACTTTGCTTTATCGAGCTAAGCAGGTAGAAATATAAATACTTTTACCAAATCACCGTAGTTTCACTTTGCACTATATAATTGGTATAATTACTTATCTTCACTTTTAGATCACTAAAGAAACACAACTCTTAACGATTTAATCTGTGATACCGATTGGACAGCACTATCTTGTATACTTCTTGTTGATAGCCGAAGAAGACGACGACGTCGACGCCCATGAAATGCTTCGTGCAGTTGCATTTATACCTCATAGAATGACATTTCTTTTAGTGTTTCCAACGACCTTAAGGAACGACTTCTTTTAATGTTGGCAACACTTTAGTCTTTAAGGAGAGGTAAAAGTAAGCTACGCTACAAAAATATATAAAGGCAGGTATAAATTTCAAGGTCCTTAAGACCAAGAATTATACGTGGAATGTTTCGCATGATCTTTACAAAAGCATTAACGTAAACGAGGGACGAATAAAAAAGTGGCGGCGAACATTCGCTGAAGCGCGATAACATCGCAATCGGGCATAATTAAAAATCCTGCATGAGATGCGCGGGAGGAAAAAGGGGGGGGGGGGGGGGGGTAGAGCGCGACCGATGATGGATGGCGGCAATAAGGCGCCCTTAGCAACGCCACGCTACCCGCTCCCCGCGCCCACCGCCCTGCCACGCCAGACAACACTGCCACATCTGTTGGTTCGATGGTGCACGCCACAAAGTAACCATTGTCACGGCTGCACCACTACAATTACCACAATTATTGTCATATTATGTACCCACAGCCTCATTAAAGAGCTCGGTGACGCTCACGACCCTACGGCGTTTATAAGAACGCCAGCTACACGGCTAGTACATAAGCCATTTATATGCTGATAAACCTGTGCGTTTTTTTTAATTATTTCGTGGGAAAATACTCAACGATAAAATGAAATTGCCTTCATTCGGTATTACACTGCTTACTTTTTACTTGAAAGAACTTCAATTTGAGTTAGTGGCTAGAGCCCCGGGTGCGGGTGTCCCGCAGAACGCAGCTTCAAACCCTCGGAGCGGTGAAAACTTTTCGCCCATTTTTCTACAAATTAAACAAAAAAAGGAATGATAGTCAATTGGGGACTGCCGATAAAAGTGAAAACTAAGTAAGTTATATGTAATGTATTTATTTATAAATAAAATAATTGTAAATAATTATTTTCATATAATTAACATATGTAATAATAATAATTAAAATACATAAATTAAAGGACTATAAAAATTAACAATTGCTTTGAAAATTTCAAAAACGGAAACTGTAGACGATAGAAGGACACCTCGGAGATAGCATCATTAATCCGTTGGGTCTCGGCGAACAGCGCTTCCTTTCGCTGAAATTGAACTATTATATTGATCGCGGTATTTGAGGCACGTTACGGATTTGGTTTAATCCTTAGTGGCCTAAACCGCCGAACAACCGCTTGCGACGCTTCATAAAGACACGTTTAAACTATTTTTCCTAGAACAGTAACAGAGATAGGTAGGTTAAAAACCCGCTTAAAAGAACATATAGCTGACATAAAACATAATAGATTGAACAAGTCTGCACGTTCACCTAATAATACACTAATAATACACTGAAATCTGAATCACAATATTACGCTTATTAACACTGCACTAATAGAATTCAGAATGTTTAGCAGGAAATTTAAATATTTTACATGCAAGGAGTATTTAGTCACTTAAGACCCATTTACACGGTGCAAGTTTCTTGCCTGTTGTATACAATGAAATTGAAGCAATAAATGAGTTGCATGGTCTAAACAACAAATGGTCTAACAAATTATTGCGCGCAATTTATTGCATTCAATTATTGCTCTTGTATGTACAAGAAAATGGCATCGTGTAAATGGGCCTTTACTCGTAAAATTAGCTAGGTTAATATTTGGATGGTTTTGGGCAACACTAATTTCTTAATAGTAAAGATATAGAACAACATGCACGTATGTTTATTAATTTCTCAATTTTTAAAATATTGTATTCTACTCGTATTGTCTGGGATAAATCGTGAAGATGAAAAAAATATTTTAGTTCGTCCGTCGCTTATAATAAGGAAAAATTTATCTGTTTGTTAATTACTATTGAAATAAACATAATGTTTAATACATTCTATCGGTTCCATATTCTACGATTTTTGTGCAACGTCTAATACTTTGGGAGTTGTCTCGACCAAAAAGTCAAGGTCTACATGTGTGTGTTGTGCTCTGCAGGGACGTGTCGGACAACAACATCACCGAGCTGCCGCCGGCCGCTCTCGTGGCGGCCACCGCTCTACGCGACCTGTGAGTGCGCGATCGACAATACTATAACATCACCACAACTTCATACTCGCGACCCTGCTCCTCAATGCTAACTAAACTCGCTTATTAAACCCAGCACCCGCTTTATATAAGCCTTAATAACATAACCAACCAACCTCATTTCCTGTCGGTTCAGCCATGTTAAGCAAAAAGTTGAACTTTTCAATTGTTATACTCGTACCACAAAACCGTTATATAATTGTTATACTCGTACCGCTAAATTTAAAAAAATAATAAAAGAACGTTTGTGTGTTAAAGGCTACTATAATATTAATGAATATTTAAATGATAACACACTCTGGTAATGAACTGATCGCTCCAGGTTCTTTCAATCGGAGTTCTTATATTGTATTTTAACGAATTTATGTCAAACTGCTTATTTAAAAAAAAAGCCCGCTGAGTTTCTTTCGCCGGTTCTTCTCAGTACAGTGGCTTTCTTTTCCGAACCGGTGGTAGTGTTTTGACTATCAATAAGTGAGTGTAATGCTCCTATGTTGAATATATACATTTTATTTTGATTTTGACAAGAACAGACGGATGGGTCATGTTATGAAGACGTCTCGTCGGAACCGTTCCATTTTGTCATTACAAAAGCCATCTACGTAAATTTATATATTAAAAAAAACAATCCCGTATTAAGTGAGTATCACTTTCGCGCCATAAACGTCGACGAAAAGAGGACGGGGTGGAGGGAAGCGACTTGTCTGCGGGAGGGGGGAGTACGGCCACCTCCACTTGATACGCGGTCCCGATTCCCCAACATGCCCGAATACAATTACGAATGCGTCTAGTACCGAAACCGCATCATTTGCATTTTTAAAGTTATTTTTCTTACATAGCCAACATTCAGTTGTTCATTGGCCTAAAAAAAAATAAAATTTCAAGAATGAAATCTTTCCCTATTTGCGACACCACGAATCTTATGTAAAATTTGCTCAATGCATCATTAATTCTTGAGTATTTGTTTGAAAATGGGTTTTTAGTCACTTTATTTTCTGACAGCAATGAAAAATATCTTGGCTACATCTGATGAGTGATTTATTTATAGGTGTAAAATACTAATTTGCCTTTTTATGTGAATAGTTCAGAAACGAAAAGACGGCTCACCTTATGTTAAGTGATTACCGCCGCCGATAGATATCTAGAACACCGAGGGGTTGCAGATGCGCTGCCAACCATTAAAGACATTGGTCCTGATTAGACTTAACAGTATTGCGCCTCATATAATATACGTAGTTCTTCCACTTTAATTGGTTTGCTGCGAAGCTGTCGTACTACAATGAACGAAACTAATAGTTCTTGTAAAAGCACATTGCTGTGGTAACATATTTGATAAGCCTCATTTTTAAAGAAGCATAAAAATAAGGCTCGTGTTGCAAGTAAGTATTGGTAAAACAAGATAAACCGCCTGCCAAATACCTGTAGGCGTTGTTGGCAATTGAAGCTACTTCTTATTCAGTCGTTCGGTATGTGCGATACAACGAGGGGTACTTTTACCCGCCATTAGTGATTCAGCTCGCACCGCGCAAGGATCGGCATGCGAAGTGCGACATTCATTGTTAAAGTATTCACACGCAACGAGTAGTAGTACCGTAGCGTGAGATGTCCGTCGTACATACACATGTGTTGCCGGTGAGCGTGGTGCGAGAGCGGAGGCGTGTGCGTTGTCCAACAGGAACCTGTCCTCGAACCGGCTGGAGGCGGCGGCGGGCGCGCTGAGCGGCGCCTCGCTGGCGCGCCTCTGGCTGGACCGCTGCGCCCTGCGCCGGCTGCCACGGGCCAGCTGGCCGCGCCTTCACCTCCTGTGAGTACACACGCCGTCGCCGACACTGCCACGCCACGTATACCATGCGCCCGATTCCTTTACAACTACTTTCAATTTAACACCGTTCCTCAAATTTTCTTCTCCATCGATAAAATATTCACATAAATAAGTTACCAGTGATTGACCCATGTGAAATTTTCGCACTGGATCACTATCATCAGTCATCGAAGGATATTATAAAAATGTGTAAATAACTAATGTGTAAATTTTGAACGAAAGCCGTTTCTATAAAAACATTAATTTTATTCTATTCGTCTTTTTTTATCATCAATAGCGGTAAACAGAAGCTTCATAATGTTGTTTGAATCGTCAAATTTTATGAAGAATTATGGACATTATGGCATTCCGACCAAAATACCTTTGCGAAATAATGTCGAGACTATATTAATATAAAATATTATACAAAAGCACACAAACTGCAGTGTTGTAATCTTTCAGATACGTGCATGTGAGTGTGGATAGTACATAATAAGTAAAACTGTCCGCTCTTAGAAAGACCTAATATGGATAGTTTTTAGGCAATTTAATAAATACTCCAAATTAGAAAATACAAAACTAGTAAAATATATTTCTCTTTTCATATTACTTTTACGTCACTTAAGTGTTTTTTCATAATTGAGATCAATATCACAAATAAACAATAAATTTACAAAGAAAATTGTTTTACAGATAAATAAAATATTTTCGGAGTTGTATTTATAGCGAAAAGAGAGCAATCGGATCGGGCCATAAAGGAAGCCGTGATAGAGAGCTTCTACGAGCTTCGGAAAGTGCTATGAATACGATCAAAGTTTATAGTAACTTTATGTGTAGGTACATACTACTGAAAGATTATTGCAGAACCAATTGCGGCCCATGTCGTAACATTTTGCCTTTATACGTGTTTACGGTCTTACTTCTTATAGTGTTAATATTAGTGACTACAGGTTTTCTAAATTCGTTTGACATGAGCAAAAGCACAAATTATGTTTTTATATCAAATTGTGTTTCCTCACTTTTATACGATGTCGTTACAACCGCGACAATAAAAGAACAAACATATGGAGGATTACATTTTAAAATTGTATTGAGCCTTTACATTCTTTAAACATTAATATTTACCGAGTTAGTAAATTTTACAAAACTAACATTTTTTGAACACCCTTACGTATAAAACTGTAAGGTAAAGTTCATTGTAAAGGTAACAAAGCATATAAATGGGTCGAATGAATTTAAAAGAGATAAAACATACTGTTAGAAGGAGAGACTTGTAATGCGACGTTATGGCAAAGAATGAAAAAGTCTCTGAAAGTATGAATCAGTCAGTTGTAGTTGTATAGGATGTTACAAATTTTCTTTCTTTTTTATTTAATTAGTTAGAAAAATATATTTTTTTAATTATGGATTTTTTAACGTTTTATATTTTTTTATGATTATTGGCTTGTGTTTATTTATTGTCGCGGTTGTAACGACACGCTGTATATTTCTTGCTCTATACAGTATTCAGTATTCTCTTAAGGGACGATATCCATTGGTTCAGTTCACAAGCTTGCTCTTCAGCAATACTGCTTCATAATAATAGACATCAAAGCTGTCTTTTTTAAGGCGCTGTATGCAGTAAAAATAGGTTTTTCAAAAGATTTTTAAGCAAAATCTACACATTTTATACCAGCAAAAAAAATGTATGTTAATCTTCATCGTACATTCTAAGGGAACATTGTTTCCAAAACATATTCTCGAAATATTTTCTCGATAGAAAAAAATCATGAAACTACCTCTAAAAGAGAAATTCAAAACCAAAAATGAACGTAATACATCAACAAATCTTAATGAAATTAATATCAGTGGTGTAGAATATATTAATAAAAAGGATTGTTGTTTTAATTTGTTGATTGATGTAAGATATTTCTAAATATTAATTTAATTCATTAAAATTAATTCGAACGCGATGGCCAAAACAGCGCGCCACCGCGGCGTTGTTTCGGCTCTCTTCCGACACGTTCCACAAGTTGAACAGAGAGCGCTGAGGCGCCTTGTTAGATGGACCTATGCCACTCGTCTTCCGCTCACCGTTACGAAATATTTTCCGTATTTATTTATTATTGAGGGTTATAATTTTATTAGATCTTTCGAAAACACGAAACTAAAAAATATATATTCACATATTTCGTATTTTTAATTATTTGTATGAATTAACAACTAAAGCGTAATTTCAATATCTTATCTTGTCATTGATAAGTTTATCAGTCCTATACAAACAGTGTAAAGGCAGGGATGCCAACTTAGGAATTTTCTTCCGAAATTTAGGAATAAAAAATGTGGAATGGAAGTTCATTTGGAGGTAAATTTTTATGGGAATATTTTTTTACGCGTTAAATTTTATTCAAATTTTCGAAAAAAACTACACGAAACAACTTATTTATAAAAAAATTCAGTGCCGTGCTGCTTTGGATGAAGTCAAGACCTATGTGTCTGGTATGAATATTTTATGTATTCTAATAATTTTTTTTAATATTGTTTTGATTTTATTCTTAACATATTCATTTCAAATGAATTATGTTATATTTGATGTTCTTGACCATGGTTTATTTTATCAGATAATTATTTTGCCTTTTCCTATATAAAAAAAAACCTGATTTTAAATTTAGAAATTTTTGTTTGAATTTAATAAATTTTTAGTCGGTTTTCGAATTGTTTTAGGAGTGTTATTCTTTTACGAACACGAAAAATAATTGTTTTATAATTTTTGTATTTTCCACATTTTATCAAATAACAACAAAATAATTAATTGATTAACAAATTAAAATTGGGAAAAGATGTATCAACCATGACGCTCGGACCAATAGACTACACGATAGGAACGTCTGCGGAAGGGAACAATACAATTAGGAACGTCTGCGGAAGGGAACAATATTTCGATTCTAGTTATAATTGTTGTCGTTTATCGATATAAGGAATTTTATCGATAATTTTTTAAATATAATTTCATTGAGGAATTAATATAACGTAGTAAGTCTTTCACATATAAAGGATAAATTAAAGATATAAAGTTTAAAAAAATATGAAATGAAAAAGTCGTATTCGTAATTTGTGCCGTGGAGACTATGAAATTGCGTAATTAAACTTTAAATGTAATAAATAATTATTCGTTTATTTATTGTTTTGTTGTAAGAAATGTCATTTGCCTTTATTAATTTATTTGACCTTAAGATGTATTTTTAATCAATTCTAATCCGTTTCCTGATAATTTAAAATAATTAATAGGAAGTTTTTCTAATATTGTTGCTTGCTTTCTCATACTTTATATTTGTTTGTTTATTATTATTCCTATAATAATATAAAAGTAAAGTACAATCATGGTCTATAAAAGATATTATAGAGATCATCTGTGTACATTTTCGAAAGCCTTCCATGATACTGTTATGAACGTAACAATACTATCGATAGTGTCCTACGGCCCATCACTACACACGAGGTTATGAATGGTCTAGCGGCGCGTCGACGAAACTCGCGCGCTGCGCGCCGCTAAGCGGCGTTACCTCTCCTCCGCTTCCTCATACATCACCACCCAAATAGTTAAAAATTCACTGCATACAGCGCCTTAAATGTGAAAAAGATGCAAACGATCTGGCGGTTCACCTGATGTTAAGAGATAACTGCCCTCAATGAACAGTTGCAACACCCGTAGGGTTGAAAATGCGTTGCCACCTTTTAATGATGTGTGCCGGCTCTCACCAGACGAAACGCAGAAGTGTAATACTTCTTCTTCAGGCCGGTCTTCTGTGAGGTCGTGGTACTTCCCCGGACGGACCTGCCCATTTTTTTTTTGCGATTACTGATTTTCAATCTCTCCAGGCTCCACTGAAAATCAGTAATTGCAAAATTTTTTTCTCTTTTTTTGCGATGTAATGCTGAGTGGTGACCTTTTTGGTACATTGACTTCAAGCTGTGATCTCTAAATTTTAATTGTTATTTTTTATTTTGTTTTTATTTTATGTTTTGTTTGTTATGTACCAAATAAATATTTCTTTCTTTCTTTCTTTCTTCTTTCTTTCATTCGAGCTACAGTGAACACTGCTGCGTGGCCGTACCACAGTTAAATTGTCTGAAAATTGATATCACAAAATTCAATTAAAGCGTTTCGATTTAACTCGACCCTTAAAATCTCTATTAAACGATTTGATAAATTAAGTTTACAGCTATTATAAATTATATAATGATATGTATATATGGGATTATATAAAAATCGTTTATATAATTTTACAAAACAACGATTTCCCCGATTCTAAAGACCTTGACTAAGAATCCTTGTTCAGAATGAAAGATGACCGTGGCCCTGGTATTATGCGACTCGCCTGCGTTTCGTCATCGAGGAGATCCGTATTCCGCGCGTGTCGGCACCAGCACCAAGCACGCACCGACGGTTGACCATGCCATGCGCAAATATTCCCTACCTTATCCATGGTAACCGGCGACGGCGCCTACACGTTAAGTCACAGGACGCCGCATACGCTCTTTAGAATTGAAAAAAATCATTAGTGTGAACGTCTTCTTTAATGTCTGATATTACTTAATAATATCTAGGAAGCATAACAAGTAACTTTTTCAGTTGATTCTGAATATATTAATAGCCAGATTGTTCGCGTTGTGAGCCCGCCACGACAATATTTTTAACCGTTCACTGTGTTGCCTACTGATCATCATAAACGATCATCGGCACCGGCTGTGAGCAGCTGTTTGCGCGCAGGGTCGACGACCGTTCATCAACATTGTTTATACCTCAGGCTATTAGTGACGCCTGCACGCGCCTGAGAGAGCTCGAAGCGACGACGCGCCATTGCAAAAAACGCAAACGAAGATGTTCATCACCACATCACTCCTCACTAGTGTTGCCAGGCAAGCTGGAAGCGAAGTATTGTACGAGTTTAGTAGGCCTCGCAGCACTACGATGTCTGTTTTGAACTTCTCTTTATCATATAACAATTTGAAGACGTGTAAGAACGAAAATGTTATGTTATGGCAACATGGAATTAAAATATTTAAAAGATATGAAACCTAAATTAAAGTATAATTTTTTTCGTGATAACGCGAGTAAAAATCAAATTAAAACTCCGCTTAGTTCCTAATAACTAAGATAGAAACTGAGTATATACGTTCGGGCAACCGAAAGCTGCGGCCGATGCGTGTAAAAAATTGGCCACGAGCGTCCACTGGGGTCGTTCGCCCTCGGGTCTCGCTCCGCGCCCGCATAAATCTCCGCTTCAATTAATGAAAGGGCACGCGGGCCTAATGGGCAACGGCCTCGCGGACGATTACACAAATGCGGCCTACCCGCTCTTCGCTCCTCTGCGGAGTGCGGACTGCGGACGCCGAGGAGGCTGCTCGTTGCCCGCCTCGTAAATTATGCGCCAAGTGACGGCTAACGCGTAGAGAGTAATCTAGTTAGCCGCCCCACTTCCCTAGCGTTCTTGCGCCGTCACCGATACGGCCGCTGCGAGTGCAATTTAGAATTAAGAGGAAAAATCAATGCGATTAGACTTTAGATCGATCGGCAACCTGTCGGTATAAGCTTTAGTTATGTACATTCGTTCATCATGCTCACTAAATCATGCCAAAGCCGTTAAGTCTTAGAATCCTTCCGCACCTCGCTCTGTGCCGCCCGGTTTCGCTACGCAAATAAAGGATGACGCCAGGCTCACTAAGCTATTACGGAGAAATGAATACAAATTTCCAGCAAATAATTTCAAATATATTAAATCTGCCCTAACTTCAATATACAAATATGAAATATTAACATATAACTTAAAATAATGAAGAAAAATATTGTGCGATTTTTAATGATAACCTCCTAACATCGTATTTTACTGTACTCGAAGATTAACTTAATTGTTTTTAAGTCTTGCCGAGTAATAATTATATTACTCTGACAAGAGCTAAGACTGAGCACAGAGGTCCCACACCAAAATATTAGTGATAAAATTTATAAACACGTAATAGATATCCGTGTATCTACTTGTAATTATTAATACTAAAGAATGTTCGTAATCGTTCGTGACAAGTAAACACACATTGAAAGATTAACGCATGCCTGCATCAGGATATGATAATGCGGCGGCCGTGGGACATGCGAGTGTGTGTCGGCGCGCAAGATCGGAGGCCACAGCGCCGTGGCGGCATGTGTGCGTGCTCGTTTGCTCGTTTGTGTGTGTGGAAGCGAGGGTCGCGGGAGTGTGTATTAGAGTACCAAGCGTTTGTTAAATCTGGTATCACAAAGTGCCTTAGTCTTTGCTGCTTATAAACAGCATATGTACAAAAAGATAAAGCTTATTAAAGAAATATATAGAATCAACAAATATGTGGGTTTCCAGCACCTCTTTACAGTCAATTATTGTAACGTAATCCATCATTATCGGAAGTTAAAGATTAAAAAAATGTTATGTCAAATCACTTATGATTTTTAAGGAGCATTAGGCGCTACTAAAACTTTCGAGGACTCTATATACATTTCCCTTTTCTACATAAAATCGAAATGGCGCGTAATAAACACTGGCATATGTACATGCTTATTTTCACTATTAGTATCTTCGGTATGAAATGAAGTTGAACTGGGAATTCAGGGAATGGTTATATAAAAATTATTATCGATAAGGTCACCTAAAAGTCTCCATTCGTGTGAAATGCATTCATGTGCTTAATATACATCCAATAGTGAGTTTTCTTATTTAAACTTTTGGCAGCTGCAAATTTCTTAAGGTGAATATTACCGAATATTCATTACAGAAATGTATTAAGAAAACCACTAAACCGAATTAAGTCATCTGAATTATGATTTTAAATTTCCGGTGCTTCGACGTTCGGCGTCTTAAAGTGAGGATATGGGCTCACTCTGAGACCAGGACGTCGTAAACTGCACTTCATTGCGTGGTCAAGGGTGAGGGAGCAGTTTTAAATCCAAATTAATGGCAATAAAAGCCGCAGTTTTAAATAATTTATCGGTTTAATATATAATACATATTTTTCACTCCACATTTAATCTTTTTAAGCCGTAATATGAACATGTGTAAAATGTTAAAATGAATTGAGGTCGTTCAAAACCCACGGATGATTTAAAGACGCGATTCGCGTGATAGGACTCGAACAACGCCGCGTCCCCTGACAACCGTCCGCCCACCGACCACTTAGCTAGTTGTTTGGCGTTGGCAAAAATGCCGCTTAGACGTTTTTTGCGCGTCATCTGCCTCCGTGCGTATGATTAATGGACGCTGTCGCTGGCACGCGCCGCGACCTCTTTTACGCAAAAAACACCCCTTAAGAAAAAAATGCGAAATTAAACTGCTTCTACGGAACGGATTTAGATTAATAAATAACCTAAAGTAATAAAGGCGTAATGAAAATTTTTGAATAAAATTTAAGGGATGTTCAAAATTAAAATGACAATTGTCGTTATTTCTCTCATGTTCAATTACATTATATACATCACAGAAAAAATCGATATGGCGCGTAACTAACACTGGCATATTTACATGCTCAATTTAACTATAGTATCGTCTGTTTGAAGTTGAAACTTGGTGTTCAAACATCAACTCCTGGCACCAACATATGATTAATCAGTAAATTATTATTGTAACAGGGGGGGGGGGATATTTATTAATCTGAATCTCGAATCTGAAACACGAATGAAACGGTCCCAACGATTTCCATGAAATTCAGTATGCGGTTTTTTTCGTTGGATCGATTTAGCAAGATTTAATTTTTAAAAAAACTTCATTTCATTCGTGTTTTCATGCAATGAAAAACTGCTACAATATCGTTAGAATACGAAGGTAAATTTCGCCAATCTACAAGGTTGTTATACAGCGTGTCGTTACCATCGCGACAATAAATGAACACACGTCTAATGCTACTTGCCAATAATCATAAAAAATATTAACGTTAAACAAAATCCATAATTAAAAAAATGTATTTTTCAAACAAACTAATTAAGTAAAAAAGAAAAAAAAAAAATGTAACACCTATACAACTCGCGCCACGGCGTCGCAAGCCTCTCCTTCTAACAGTATGTTTTGTCTCTTTTAAATTCATTCAACCCATTCATATGCTTTGTGACCTTTACAAAGGAACTTTACGTTATAGTTTTATACGTAAGGGTGTTCTAAAATTGTTTGTTTTGGAAAATTTTATAACTCGGTAAATATTCATGTTTAAAGAATGTAAATGTTTCATACAATTTTAAAAAGTTATCCTCTATATGTGTGTTCATTTATTGTCGCGGTGGTAACGACACGCTGTATATATCTCAGGTTTATTTCCCTTTTATCACGTTCCTGTGTCTTGTGAGAGAAAAACCAGGTCATCCAGGTTATTCATATTATCATTATATACTTACTTGACAAGATTATAGATGTAATCATTAACAAAACTCGTATCAGGTAATAAGTTCGAGGGTCCGAACTCGGGAGTACTTTGACCTGTTCAGTTTGAGCTTGTTAATTTGAAATGTGTTTTTTGTTGTATGTTTTATCTTATTTAGGAACAGTTTGTGCCAGCCAAAACAGTAGCTGCTTTAAAAAATTCTTGTTAATGTCACAATCAATCCGTTTATGTAATGTTGGTACCCCCATTACTTATGCAAAGTGGGGGAGTTAGTTGTCGGATGCTTTCGGATCTTGGAATCGCGATCCCGGGGTGACTTGCATTTATTATAACGAAGTTCCCGCGGGCGAATCAACGTTCAATTTAAGTCGGAGTCAAGGGCATTTTCTTCATGGATTAATGAAACAAAAAAATCAATAAAATTCCCGCTTTCTTTAGTAAATCATATATTCGAAGAAATTGTTAATTTCAAGTGCTGATTTATCACGTGCTCCGTGGCGAAGGAAAACATCGTGAGGACCTGCATATTTTCGAAATAATTACAAAAATTTTTTTTTTTCGAAGATATGTAAAGTCCGCCAATCCGCAGTGGAGCCGCGTGATGGCCATGTCCTGATACCCTCTGTATAGATGAGGCCTTTGCCCAGCAGTGGGACATTTATAGGCTGTTACTTTACTTTACTTTTATGCTGAATGGAAACATGTTTAAAACAATGTCAACCCATAAAAAAACCACATTTAGTACCGTGTACTTTAGTACTTGTTACACTGATAGTTTTCTACGTAGAAATTTAGTAGGCGTTTAAATGTCATGAAGATAAACACAAAACTAGCAAAATATATAAATAGTATATCACGAGATGATAGTAGTCAGTGCGCTTTCGTGTGTGTATGTGTGTGTGTGGGTGCGCGTGTGCGCGTGTTTGCGTATGTACTCGTTTGCGCAGGTCGGTGGGCGACAACGAGCTGGAGGACATCGCTCCGGAGGAGCTGTCGGGCGCGCGAGGGCTGCGCGTGCTGTCGGCCCCGCGCAACCGGCTGCGCCGTCCGCCCCCAGCACTCGCCGAGCTACGGCGCCTGCAGGCGCTGTGAGTTGCGCCCAACTAGCCACGCCGCACCGACAAATATGCACACGGACTCCTTCGAAATTTCCAATACGCACTGGATTGAATCTCCAACAAACCTAAACGGCAGCTTAAATTGAAAGTTCGTCTGTATCTCAACAATCGTGAGAGCCCAGAGCCAAATAATCGCCCGTACCAAATGGGCCGTTACGAGGCGATGATCGTCTATGGGGCCGCGTCACTATTCCGAGCGCTCGTTACGTTTATATACGCGCTGTTGACGTTCATTTTTATACGGCGCTTATTTCGACCGTCGAGAACAGTTTTATGCGCGATTAGCCATTATTATACATTTATCTGGAGCACGACTCTACGATGCCGCCGCAATCAACTATTCCAGTGACGCCTCCACCCACACTAACCGCCCACCTGCACCTGTCTAACAGAAACTAATCGCATGTAAATATCACCGATTTCTGCACGCACCATAACGTAAGAAACGTTAACCCGCAAACGTTATCGATGTATATGACGTACAGCGACACGGCACGAGACGCGCCCGCGTACTTTCTAATAACATTTCGCACGTACCTACAGATTGTCAGAACCAGATCAGCAGAGCAAATATCAAGGTTGGTTGAAACCATTGCCAAATCATGCAGTAAGTGACGTTTGTAAAGAGATTTTATGATATGTATTATCTTTACCTTATCAGCCAGTTTTCGTTTTTGATATTAGTATTAAATAAATAAAAAAATATTAATGCAAGTCAAGTTGCATTTGAGCTTTGATGGCTCCGTGGCGCAGTTGTCAAGGTATTGGCTTCGGCGTCGGGGGTCGTGGGTTCGATCCCCGCACGGGACAACTATTTGTGTGACCCACAATATAGTAGTTTCGTATTCTGGGTATTTGTCCGCGTGAAATTTATGTTTGAAAAACGTCCTTACAACACAGGATAATGTTATCCTAAATTAAGGGCAGTGTTTTAAAAAAATAAAAAATAAAAAAATAAAGCATAACTCCACTCCACTGCTCTATGAAATTATTCCTACTTCGGTGTCCGTGACGCTCGAACGTATATTGTCCACAGGAACCTGGCCGGCAACCTGATCACAGAGCTGACCAACGCGTCCTTCCCGCCGCTGCCGATGCTACATACGCTGTGAGTATATCATTCAATCGTACTCTAACTCCACCATAGCTGTAGTAAGTTTAAACTATAACGTAGATGTCTTTTTGTAAGACTGTCAACTACAAAGCACCGTTCTAGACCTCCGCTCTCAATCGTAAGAATCTGCGCATTGGTCTTAGTGCCATCGTAAAGAGGCCTGTGAATGGTCCAACTCCTCCGGCGCATACTCGATGTGGCGATGTGGCGATGTGGCCGGGGACGCGAGAGTTCGTACCGCCGCGGGCCATTGATTCGGCCACGCGCCGACCGAAGCTATAATAAAGCGATGCATTACCATATCCTCACACAGGCAAGGCGCAGACATGTCGCAATTATAAAGTAACGCGGCACATATTGGCAAAATTTTGAGGAGTACACCGATAGACATTAACAGAAATTTAGAAGCTACTGCAGCTAACAAAAACGTACTGATAAACTGTAGTAATTAATCTCTTCATCCGTAAGTTTATTGCATGTGCCCTACACGTGAATAAATCCTTCACTTATTTGAATGTTTATTCCGGTTTCATTTGAGCGTTAAATCACTTGTACGCTTGATCGATGAGGTCGGCAGTGACGCGGCAGTGACGCGGCAGCGAGCAAACACCGTGCCACTTTATCCTTACAACACATTCCAACTACTCACTCACACAAGTTATGTAAGGGTTGATTATAAAAACTCATAAAAACTTTAAAGATTTTGATAGGAGTAAAAAAGTTCTCAATATGATCGCAGACAATGTTATAACAATGGTGATATAAATCATTCGCAGTCATTGCAACCGGTGATCAGGTTATTTCTAGTAAGCTTTCGGTGGGCGCCGGACAATAACAGTGCATCGGGGGCTTGGTATTGCTTGTTTCTCTTTATTTGCGGCGAATGATGACACACGAGTGTTTCGGCCACAATTACAACAGATGTCCATGTGTCCAGTCAGCGTTATCCGTATGTATCGGTAGCGATTGTGCGGCTGGAACCAGGGTGGGGCGCGTGCTTGCGGGGGTGGGCGCGAGGGGTGATTAGTCGGCTAGCTGGGAAGTTATCGCAGTCGTTACGGGCCGCGTTTATTGCGGCCTTTGCGTAAGCGGCTCCGATTAATCGGCAAATCGTTAGAATTAAAAAAGATTAAGTAAAGTAACAAATAAACGGACAACATTTTGCACGACACTGATTTCGCCCATTTCAACTAGTAGTCTGATAAATAACTTAATGAGCTTTATAAATAAACACTACAAATACTTTGGAAGTAAGAGTTATTGAAAGAAAAAAATGAGTAGTCATTACTTTAGTGCAAAGCATATTTATCTTTAAGAAGCTATTCAATTTAAAAGGTCGAAGAGCGTAATTCCGCCTCGGCGCAAGTCGCCGCCCGTCACATCGACGAACATCGACGCCGCTCGCTTCGCGGGCTCCACTTATAAATGTTTGCTCTGCTTAATTACATTTTCCGCTAGCAACGTACGCTGTGGTTTAAAATATCACTTTATAAATTCAGTAAGCAATCAACTCCTAGCTTTTAAGTCAACTTACTGAAAAAAATCCTACGCAGCAGCTTATTTTGCTCGAGTTTTCATTTGCTCAATTTTTTTGTGTTTCCATAGGTTAAACTCAGATCTTAGATTTAAACGAGGCGATGAGAATTATTAGTTGGGATATTAGGATAAAGAACATTAATAACAAACACATAGTTAACCTTTTTGTTATTTATGTTCTCTCTTATGTAATTATATCTACTTGTCGATCACGCATTGTCAACAATTTAGTATAACTACAGTGAAATTTTGTACCTTAGCGCTACAAAAACAACTCGTCAACAACTACACCATAATGTAATTTAATATTAATGTCAAAATCGATCACTGAAGCCGAAGCGAATATCGCTTATTCCTTGGTTTAATCGTTGTATGTTTCTGTAATGTAACAAAATTCCAGGCCTTTCAATAAAATTCGTAGTTACTTAGAGCCGCACAAACAAAAGATAACCCGAGTGTCAGTTGGCCTTCAATCCACTTGGAATATAATTTACGAGCGACGATTTGCGCGGACGAAGCGCGCGGTCCGGCCGCCGGCAACGGGGAGCTGTCGCCGACGCTAATGACAGCAATGAGTCCGTATTCACGCTCGGCGCCCCCAAGAGGGGACGCACAACGCAACGCACGGCGGCGGCGGCACATAAACAACCAGAAGCCGACTCCATTACGGAGCGCGCGCAATGAAAGCGTTCGACAAATTGATTGCGAAATACGGTCGGTTTATTTTACGCGAGCCAGCGCTGCCGCCGCCGCCGCCGTCTCGTAAATTATTGTTCTGATAAAGGTTGAACGCCGCGCGCACAGCCGCTCAGATATATCGAATTCGCGTGCCACGTGCACTAACTGTTTAGGTTTAAGTAAAGGTCACGTTGTGTTTAGTTGGGAATTAGTTTGACGAGAGTCCACGCCGAGTGCGGTTTGCGGCGATTCTATTGACATGGGCCGATGTGTGAGGTTGGGGTGGGGCGGCGATGGGCCTTTAGCTGCGACACGAGCGGGTGACATCCGTCCGCGTTATCTGGCGGGGTGGCAGGGGCAGACGGCTCGTTTCGGATCATTCGCCGTCTGCCCCGCGCCCCGACATTGACTAATACGGTGTCGGTGCGAAAGAAGCGGCGGGCGGGTGGGGTCGACGGCCGCCCGCCCTCCAGCCACCAGGACCAGTGGCCCCTAGAGGAGACCACGCGACAATCCGACGTCGCATCAACTGTAACAATTCACGTTAAAAAAATACGTCTATTTAAATGTACAAGTACACACACATTGACACGTCCAATTTCAGTCAAGTTTTATGTTTTTTTTAATTATTTATGTATTGACACTTTATTTTCAAAGAGGTATGAACGGGGAGCTTAACTCGTATTATATATAGCATTTTTACCAGCAGTTAATGTGAGAAGCAAGTGTAGGTAATGGTTTCATAAAATGTTATCGATACCTATATTAAAAATAATAATGTCATGTAACCATAAGTGAATAATCTCTGAACATTACATCACGAAGAACTTTCGAGCTTGCCGTTTCGTAGCCTTTGCGCAACGAAACAAGACATTTGTCTCGTTCGAGCAAAAAGTCAGAATGATAATGAGCGCGTGTTAAGCTCATCTTCGCAAGAGTGCGGAGGGAAAGTGTTCATGTTTTTGCGGCGATTTCGGAAAGGTCGCCGATGAATGCGGCGCACCGCGAGTGACGGATGAGGCAACGCCACGCTCCTTACGTCATGGACGGCTCCGACAGGCGAGCTCTAACCTCTAAAGTTTCGTACCTCAGTTGTGCAGGCACCTTTCTTAATGAGTACAGTAATATGCATACATGTGTAACTCCTGACAGGGTAGCCGGCCATTGCTTCTGCATCAAACTGGTTACTGTTGGTGGTAAATCTATCGCCGTGCATTGTATTTATGTATGTGCATGCAAGTGTCTTTCGCAACAAACGAATCTTAAAGTTACCCTAGCCCGCCGTCAATTTCCTAACCATCACAAGATTTTCACTATTTGTATTTATTCGTTATTTATATGAAAACAACATTATGATTAAATTATCGATAAAGACTTATATGATAAGATTTATACAATTTTTAGTAAAATGTTGTTATTATATCTTAGCATTAAATTCGGCGACGTTAGGAAAAGGTGATGATTATGCAATTAAATTTTAAGAGGCCATAAAATTATTTCATTCTTACTGTATTTAAATGTAATGTCACATGTTATGGCTGTGGATGTCATTATTTTATTACAATTTCAAAATTATGCTTTATTTTTCTTTTAGCAAAAAACCGTTAGTAATCTCATCAGTCAAACAAACAAACTAACTAGACAATTCTTCATTGTCAATGACATTGACAATGCTTCAAAAGTACCACTTGCTTTTCGTTAAAGACTTTTTTGTAATAACTTTTGTAAATTTTATTTAAATTATTTTTAATTTTTACTGCTTATTTGCACTCGAAACGAAATTTGAATGTGAGATTAATGGGCAAAAGGACTAAGTTATGTATTTTTATTTAGAATTAGTTTCACACTGAACACTATCGCGAGACGTGGGTGTCTGCGATGCCTTTTGCTCTGGCCTCAACTGGCTGCAATCGATAACTTTTCCTTTCGAAAAAAATCGCATGAATTAGCGATATTTCTAAAAAAAGGTCTGTTCTTTACTATAGTTGGCACTAAATTTGTCTATGTCATAAATAATCTTTGGTCATAAACAGTGTACTTACATTTCATAATGAATTTCAAGTATACTCGCCAAGATCACCATGATCATCATCCTCCTGGTCATTCCCACGTAGGTGCCACAACATGTGAATCACGTTGTAAGCGATTTTGGCTATGTTATGAAAGTCGGCCACCCGCCCGACTAAGGACCCTCCTAAGGAAACAATCACCCAGGTCCGGAACAGTTGCTGTGGGTCACACAAATACTTGTTCCTTGTTCTGGCAATGTTGTGGGAATCGAACCCAAGACCCCCGACGACGAAGCCAATACAGTTTTGTAATCAATTACCAAATCAAAAATTTGTATTTTGATTGTCATTAGTAATGTTTGGGACCTTGTGAATTTATTATGATAATTTGCGATCAAATCATAAAGACATATAGAACATGTTTAAAATACATAAACGCCATTGATTTAATAAAAGTGATTTATTAATATTAGTGACCATTCATTATATGCTTTAAAACAAAAGGAGCACGCGACCTGCCGTGTCTTTTACATCGACGATACAGCACGCAGCATCGTGTCGCAAATTAATAACGTAAGGCGATCCCAAGCGCACAAACTTATCTCTATTAAGCTGTTGTAGCAGTGATTTTGTTTTAAAAGAAAATAGAACATTCTTATAGATATTACCCGCTTTTTTCTAGAACCCGCGCTCACCCTGGAACAGCAAGTTTTCATATCCCCAAGTGAGGCGATAATACAAGGCTTTAGTGATTTATAGCGCAATCTTTGACAGTATCTGTGCCCATACTTTTAGAATGCCTTCGAAGCTTTAAATTTTCTAGTAGTTTATATTACGTTGTTGAACCCCTAAAGATTTCAGTTGACTTAAGAAACATAAGTTCTTTCAGACTCCCCTGAAAATAATATGCGCGACTAGTAAGCAGATCTAACACAAATATAGGTCAAGGTAAGAGTTAAGTTTGAAGTTTGTCGGCAGGGTGCTCAAGCGGAACCGCATCGCGTACATAGACGAGCGCGCCTTCGCCAACACGCCCGCGCTGCGCGTCCTGTGAGTGCCATTCACATCAATAAGGATTCGTTTCATTAACGCCAAAGCAATGTGTGTTGATACAGTGAATTTCTTAATAAGAACATTACTCTTGGTAAGTGATATTAAAATCAATTTAATTTAGGAAGTATAAGCCTAGCAAAAGATATCCTATTAAATTAAACTACTTTAATGGATTTTCTGGCTGTGATATTTTTTCATCCCAAAAATTGTCTTCACGGTGGTAGGGCCATTCGCGTTTCGTCTGGTGAGTGAGGTGGCCGGAGCCCCATTTTCAAAAGGTTGTCAACGTATCTCAACCCTCGGGTGTAGCAGATGTCCATGGGCGGCGGTATTCACTTAATATCAGGTGAACCGTCTGCTCGTTTGGCAATTTTTCACATAAAAAAAATTGTAGTTAATACTGGCTACCGTCAACTTTTAGTACTTTACTAATTCCGTTCTACGCACTAGGAGATTACAGTGCCCTAAAATATTGTTGTGTATTTATTTTATTTCATTATTGTGTCCCAAGCTGATGGTAAAGACCAACCGACTTCTGTGTTGATATTACGTAGTATTTTTTTATTTCAATAGCTTTCGAGTCATCCTTGGATGGAATCGGTGTTCTTTCGCGGGGGTTTTTGGTTAGTCGAATCTAAACTTACATGTATGATGTTAGGGGTGGTATATTGTGTGGCCAAATACTGCCGACTTCTTTATTGGCCTGTGCTTCACATTAGCAATGTGTTCTTTATTTTCTTTATTTTTATACAATTAAGACTACATTAACAGTTCAAGTTTTATTCTTCAATGGCTTGAAATATTTTAATGGAACCACGCTTCAAGAAGTCTGAATCTTGTCTATGATTGTTAAGGGTGCGAAACGTCGGGAATTAAAATAGAAATGAAACGCGAAGAAATCGGTAACATTATTTTTATTAAAAAATGTATAGTATTCGCTTAAACTAAACAAATCATTAAAAGATGTTCTTATGCGTAAGTAAATAGGCAAATGTTTTTAACTGTTTGTAAATGTTTTTAACTTAAAACAATGGTCAATCTTTAGATTTCGTTCAGGAATTACTAATTTAATTCCCCCTCCTCACACCATCGTCGGACAACTTGACGCTCTATAGGACTCCATCGTTTTACTGTTGTCATTCCATGCCTTCGAACGAATAGGTTGGCATTCTCTTTCTCTCTGTTGGAATGCGTATAGCAAAGTAATGTTTGCCATCGTCAGTTTACACGTATGATAACCATTTTGTTCGCCTTCAAGGCTTTTCATATCTAAATTTACATCTTGCTTAACATGATGTGAGACAGTCATGCACTTCCAGTGGAGTGCGGTTCTTAGATGAGAAAAAGGTAAAAAAAATGTTGTGATGATATTTTTAATTTCTACTGAGCCTGAGATAAAGTTAAATGGTTTTCAATAGCAGTTGACCGCATCGAAAATGGGGATAGACTCTTTAATTTATTTATAGCTTTCGTATGTCGTATTCAGTTCGGCAGTTCGTTCGCGTCACATGAAACCTCACTCGAGGTAGACGAGGAGCGCGAGAAGTGCGAAACGCACACAATGGAGGCCCACTGCAGACGCGTGTTCTTTCGGGGCAACTTCAGCCGATCAAGGAGCGCCGGCGAATGGGCCTAATTGTCTCTTCAATATAAACTGGCACGCTCCCAAATCTGTGTTTTGATAACCAGTAAAAGGTTTCCGGGTGTTCCCGATTTTATACCACGTAATTTGTATTTTTATTTGTTCAGTTGCGATTTGCTAGAGACGGAGTCAACATCATTATTTTGACGCAACTAATTTTTAATTAACACTCACAGCCACACTTAATTTACAGAACAGAAGATTCTTGGAAATAATAAATCAAACACGGACAGAAAACACCTAAAAATAAATTATAAATGGCTACAGTCAATATTATAGTCCTAATTACAAAGGCGTCCCTCACGGCCTGACAACGCAATAGCCCCAGACACCGAACGATGGCAAAGGACTATAAAACATGAAATAAAATTGCCTCAGCGTTAAAACTCTTATCGATAAAAAACGATAGCAATGAAAATATCGTAACAGCTTAAATTTATCGAAAACGAGTTCAAGTGTCTTTGAAAAAACTTTGTGTTAAAATAACACAGTAAATATTTCATAAGTTCAAGCATTAAAGAGACGTCGAAGGACTCGGGACTATATTTAGCCATATTTGGAAAGATAAGCATTTCACATAAAAAGTATAACGACTTTGGCAGTTAAATAAACAATTAAAAAGACATATCAGATGTGGTTTAGATACCTTACATGTCGGCGGGGGGCTTGCTGCATTTCTCAGCGCCTGAGAAACAACATGTATGTAATATTTATGGCGAGCACCGAATAGAGAATCCTTTCTTATTACCAATAAATATCAGCTGTCATAAAGGAAGTTTATTATAAGTAATTTTCTCAAATGTTCCCTGATTTCTGCTTTTCATAGAAATAGAAGTTTTAGCGAGATACTAGTAAATTGCATAGAACCCGTTACCTAACAATAACTAAACAAACTTTCCAATACGGGTCTACTTCGCTGTCGTGTTATAGCAAGTTTGGGTAGAATTTTCAAATAAACATACTTCAAAATGCTTATTTCATTTTCGACCCAACACGTCATGTCGATTATTATTAAAATGCAGCATGATCTATGAGAATATTTTATGTGAATAGGTTGCACGTCCATCCGCTCGTCTGAAAGTGGCCATGGACATTTGCAACACCCGTAGAGCTGCAGATGCGTTGTCCCCTTTTAGTAAAGGGGGCTCCGGCTACCCAGATGAAACGCAGAAGTGTTACCAAAGAGTACATTATTAATAGAGTTATCAGTGTCTCAAGTGTCTCGTGAGACAGCTCCATCTTTTATTGAATTGGATACACGCTTGCTGGATGTAATTTTTGGACAAAGAAAATAAAACACAGAAATATGTTTTGCGATCTTTATTTCGTTTTTTAAATTATATATATTTTAAAATATGTATAATAAATAGATATTTTAATGAGAGAAATATAGTATATCAAGAAAAAACGTATACTAAAAAAATACGAAATAAATAAATAAAGGTAACTACCGCGTGACTGACTTCCAGCAATTTTTTACGATTTTCTCCCAATGAACCATCATTTTAATAAATTTTTAAATAAAATTATTTTAACTTAGAAAGTCAATTTTTTATTTTATTTAATGTTACCGTAGTTAAAACGGGCGTGTATTTAAAACAACGCCATCTGTTTTTGATGGATGGAACTAAACGGAATGACCAAGCTCCATACAATTATGAAATGTATGGACTGAAAGTGACCGTGAGTGTTACACTTCTACTTGCCGCCGGTCTCGTGCAAGTAAAAGGGCAGGGATTAGCCCACAAGAGCAAAGGAATGTTACTTTGAACATTCTTATTGTAGTAGGGCAACTTTATGCAGCAACTTCTGCTGTTGCACTAACGACCACGAATGGCTCGGCCAAGTACCACGTTCTCAAAGCGGAACGACGTGAAATGGATATCACACTTTTGCATCTTATCTCGTGAGTGAGCTAAGCAGATTTACCTTTGAGAAACGAAGTGATTGCTTTAGCGATAAACCACACCGACCACAGCATTATCCATATTTTCTTGGCCGAGTAATTCTGTTTTCACTGTTAAAATATATTATTTCTTCTTCAAGGTAAACAGGGTGATTTTATAGGCGACGCACATATTAACAGATTTTTACAAGAATAAATTAAAAAAACAGCACATCGGATATCTATATCCTAGATGATAATAATTGGTATTTTGCTTTCTGCAGACGTCTGGAAGACAATTTGCTGACGGAACTGCCGACCGCCGTGCATCGACTGCCGCTACTTGAAGACCTGTGAGTGCGATGCCTCCTGCTTGTCTGCTACAAATTTTTCTTTCTCGATTTCTTGTTGCAACAACAACATTATGCCATTCCTAAGCAGTTAGGAAAGTAATTAAGTTCGATAAATGGATTCCATATACGATTTGCAGGGGAACCGTTCCGTGGCAATCGTGGCATTTTGGCACTGGATAGTTAAGACGTTTGGTAAAAAGTGATAGGCCAAACCCTTTGCAGGATAACGCTAGATTGCACGTTACTAGATCTACTTCACTGAAACTACAGAAACTGAATCTAGGAATACCATCATCGACACTATAGAATTTTCATTTTTTGCCAACTGATTAACATATTTTCCGAGGGACAATGGCTGCAAGAAATGCAACATGTATGAATGCAAAATGTTAGAAAACGCCTTTCGCGGTTTTATCACCAGCTACATTTAAGATTTTTTCTTCAAAATTTTATTTATAGCTTAAAAGTACATGTTCATGAATATATTCCATCTTGCCCTAAATGCAATTAACTAAACATTCAATGTCGAATCGGAGATAACTACTCTAAATATATGAAATTATATGAATTTTTTTTCTCTTGGTGTGTTCCTCCACTTTCTTATATAAGATTTGTATAAAATATATTATATCATTTCTTCAAACGATTGGAATCATGCGGATATCCTTTGGTGGCGGATTCTTCATCTGCGAAAAGGTTCATTTGCCACATTTTTTGTTTTAAATTAAAATGGTACGCACTGTCCGGCGCCAAGGTCCGTGGCGCGCAACCGTGTCTCCGCGGTGGGGCTGGGGCTGCGCGCGTGCGCCCGCCTCACCCGCCTCGAGCTGCGCGCCAACCCCCTCACCCAGGTGCACCCGCACGCCCTCCAGCACCTGCCGCGCCTCACCACCCTGTGAGCTGATGCTGTTATCACCAACGACTCACACCTCATAGACCCACTACAGAACATTTAGCGAACGCTCGGTAGCCTCTCATTTCTGTCAAATCTAGTACTTGCCTTTCGCTTACTAAATAGATTTTTAAACTTTGCCCTTATAAATTTAATTCAAAATTTGATCAATAAACCAAGACAAAATAGTTCGTCTCTTGACACCAAATAGAATAAGATTTTCTCGGTTGAAAATCTACACGTATAAAGTTATTCAGATAAAGCGAAACGCAGACGGGCGATAGATGATTGGCAGGTCTTATTGCCTGCGTGCTCTCTAGGGGAGTATTAAATGGGAGTTCGTTTACGAGTTCGGTTTACGATGTCGCAGCGTCTCGGGTAGACACTTAGATGTAAGGCATCGAAATATCGACGGATATTACTCTTCGACGCTGTGGTGAGGACAACTTACACAGATAATATAACGTCAAATCCACTTATTACCATCATCATGATTTGAATGCTCACATAACGGTTCAAAAATCATTCAATATTTTCGACGGACAAACATTTTATGCATTGAGTATATGTATTAACGTGCGGTGACTTATGCTGAATTAAAAAAAACTTTACTTATTGTAATTTTTTTTAATTTTATAGTACTCATGTCTGCACTTAAGATAAACATTAAAATTTGTAGAAAAAAGTACGAAAAGTTTGTCGCCACTGTGGGAATCGAACCGACGTCTTAGTGACTCACACCATGAAGCGTCAGGTCTCCCCGAAATAGAGTACTTATTATCCAGTGTTTTTTGTTAGAGGAATACTTATACACTGTTAAGTTAAATTAATTTAAGACAGATGATGGTTGAGCCTAAATAACAGGTTAGACCAATAGACATAAAATTAAATGCAGGCACACCAATACTAACTTATAGTTTTTTATCCTGTTTTAATTTTGGGATTTTTGTCATTTTGTCATGATATTTCGGTTCCATTGTGCAGAATATAGAATAAATAATCTATTTAGGTAAGCTTACAATCAAGTTATAAATAAATTTGGAAGAATCTAAATCAGTATTCCTAACAATGCACTGGAATTCACCAAAATTCACAGTATTTAACTACATCTCTTGATTACAATTTTCTTTTCACTTTCATTCCTCAATCTTGTTACAGGAATCACAATAAGAGTGTACGGAGTCATTTGTCCTTTTTTTCATTACGAACGCAAATTTGTTACTCGGAAAATGTCCTGATCAAAGCCTTTATTTTACAATAGACATATTAAAATTGCAAAGTATAAACCAGAGCATCCTAGGATCTTAAAGAGTACAGATATTATAAATGTGTGTGTCGCCATTTACACTGTAGGTACAATCATCTAGGTAATAAATACACTTGTCATTATTAAAATATGTGCTTATTGTGTTCATGCTAAAATGAGAACATTAAGCACAGCTTGCTATGAATAAACACCAGTTTACGGTGTATAATTTTGAAATACTCTTAATTGCTGCAATGATTCATGTCTTCTGCCACAATGAAGTATACAGTTGGACCATTTGTTTTGAAAGCGTTCTGTGGAGACTAACGATTGTTTACCTGAATAAGTATTTAGGTGTATGCTGATACTTCTATATATAATATGATCGATACCGGTTTTGTTTCTGCAAGTCAAATAACTTCGAATATATAACCTTTGACCGATAGTCAGCGCTCAAGCCACCGAACCATTTACTACAAATTGTGCTCTTAATCTGCATTCTTAAATAAAACGTATGAGCTACATAAATAAGTGATATCGTGATTTAATTATAGATAATAATGTTGGCAATGGTAACAAGATAGTTAATTTCATACCACCAATTGTATTTAAATTCGGCCCATTTGTAAGCCGTGGGCCGAGAATAGGCCCTTGCGTCACGCCCCCACAGAGTAATGAATACGTGCGCGGAGATAAAAGGCCCCTCGCCTATTCCGAATAAATTGCTACAGTTGACTGATATCCCTGTTATCGAGCTTTGGCAACGTGCTCCACACTCTTACGCGACGGAACGTCCCATTTCTATTTGAAGTAAACGCATTGTATCCTTTTTGTTTTACTTTATTTTTATCCATCCTTCCTCACTAATCCTTACTAATATATATCAAATTCACGCAAATACTACTATTACTAAATGGATTCTAATGAACCTATTCTACGCAGACGTAGTCGCGGGCAGTAGCTAGTAATATTATAAACGTGAATGCAAATTTGTTTGTTACGCTTTCACGCCAAAACTATTCAACCGATTATCATGAGTCTTTGCACACATATTCTTAGAGGTATCAAAAAGGACATAGGATTATTTTTAATTAAAAAAAGATACTTATTTAAGGGCTTGAACGCAAGCGAAGCAGGGGGCAAAAAGCTATGTTTCTCTAAGTTCGGTCAGTGGCCAGTCCGTATACCTATTTATGGTGGCATAATTGTGCGTGCCGTTGACGAAGGAGGTGTGCGCGTGCGCAGGGAGCTCTCGGAGGCGCGTGGGCTGCGCGAGCTGCCCTCGCTGGAGGGCGCGCAGAGGCTGCGCACGCTGCGGGCGGAGCGCGCGCGCCTCGTGCGCCTCCCGCCCGCGCTCTGCCGCCACGCGCCGCAGCTGCGGGCACTGTGCGTACCACCTCTTCCACCTCTTCTTCTCTCGTCTGCTTCACCAATCCACCGATGTGTCGTCCTCTTGCCTCACATAGTTCTAATGTGATGACGCATCGTGCACGTACATAGGCTGTTTCTGTACTTTAATCTCCAATATTCCAGTTGGGTGGATCACCCTCAACTTTGCAACTCGGAAATTATAAAACAGGTCCCTCTTACAAACACTTAGCTGTCTATTCTGTCTCTTTGTCCGTCTATCATCAGGCTGCTATTTCATAAACCGTCATAGTTAGACGATTGAAATTTTCACAGATGATGCATTTCTGTTGCCGCTATTACAAAAAATACTAAAAAACTTTCATAAAACAGACACGATTTTTTGCCGTGTCTGTGGATAACGATACTGAACCCTTCGTGCGCGAGTCCGACTCGCACTTGGTCGGTTTTTTCAAAAGTTGTTTGAAAAATGAGTAGAATAGTAGTAATAGTAGAATGTCCTTTGGGTATCATTTACGTTATAGACAATACACACTTGAATTTCGATATACTACGTTTTTGAAGTGTTATCTTATAAATTATCGTATCGTATTCTTTTATATAGTATTGTTTTCTTTTATATATTATATTTTCAAATAATATTACACTTAAATTTGTCAAAAAAGGACGAAAAAGACAGTTTAGACGCTGCCAAACTGCTAAACATACTCGTAGATATTGAAACTGTTTCTTTTAATTTTCTAATGTGATCTCTACTAGCCTTTTTATCTTCAAAATGGCCGTTATAATACTACTTAAATTATGGAAATTGGTTTTTGGATCTAATTTTAGATCACAAGATACGTATAATGTAACAAAGAGCTATGGATTTTGTAGTAAACTATTAAAAAATAAAAATAACACCGTTATCTCGAAACTTTAAATTGTTTCTTGCGGGAAGAAAAAGGATACTTTCCGAGAGACCCCCTCGTGGGATAAGATTTGGTTACTATAATCTTCATGGAGTAGAACGTATGGAATCATTTCGCAATAAACACAATAGCTGAGCTACAATATAATGTCTTCTATTTGCATCGCTCGAGGTCGGTCGACGCGATGCAATCAATTCGACTCGCGTGCGTGCATCCGCCGAAAATCCAGCAAATGTAACAATTAGACAAATACAGCTGAAAAATTTCCGCAATTTCAATTTATCCATCCGTCTAGCGTAAAGTCTTTAACACCAGCTTTAACTAAAACCTATAAAATTTAATTAATTTTATATATTTCTATTATGCTTTTTCAAAGAGCTTTTGGGAAAAAAGAAGCACCGGTTAGTTTCTTATAGGTATGTGGACATATGATTTGAATTGCAGCAAAGGGATTAATGCAGTTAAGTTAAAACTCTTTTGGGATATTTCTTAAAAGGGTAATCTCGTCTTTGGGCAAATATTAAAGGCATTACGAAATTACTCAAGCGCCTGTTAACAGATACGGCGCCTAAAGATTTTCGTGCAACCGTGACACAATTCCGCGGCGCTTAAGTATCAACATGAAACATACTTCCAATTGAATCCTTGCGCGATATCATTTTTACACCTTAATACATGCGCATAAAATAAGCGCGCACGCACATAAAATGAGATGACGAAGGATTTAATTCAACTACGATTAAATCGCTTCGAGAAAACTCAAGTTTTATAATAAAATAATAAAACATTTCGAGGGAAAACGAAGCTAAATTATTTGGACGAGATTTTCAACAAATAAAAAAAGCATAAAAAATAAATCAATTTAATGTCAGAAATCTCAATTTAACAATTTAATAGGGATTTGTTAATAATTTACCATCGATATGGTTCTTTGATTAATTCCATACTATGCCAATAATCATGAGGAATGTTCACATTATTTCGTTAAAGTATTGCTTATTTTGCACGCAGAGATTTGCGGGCCAACTTGATGGAGAGCGTGCCAGAGCTGTACGAATGCTCCGAGCTGCGCGTGTTGTAAGTAAAGCTTGCAACTTTGAATGAGATTTCTTTATACAGGATATATCAATCATGAAAGCAAAAACCTATATTTGTAACTGTGGTAGGGCCATGCAAAGACTTCTGTTGTTTCGCGAATGACGTAACCGCCCGCTCCCTCGAGAGCTTTTCACGTAAAAGAGTATCACTTGAAATGTAGCCCTGTGCCGAGAAATGTTTGTTGTTGAGAATGAGGCGAGCGGGCTGTCCTCGCGCGCAGGTCGCTGTCGGACAACCTGGTGTCGGAGGTGGGCGCGGGCGCGCTGCGCGGCCTGCGGCGCCTGCACGACCTGCAGCTGGCGCGCAACCGCATCCGCCGGCTGCCCGCAGACGCGTTCCTGCACACGCCGCGGCTGCAGCTGCTGTCAGTCGCTCGATGCACGCCCATACCTCATGTACCATGCGATTTAACCGTGACCAACGCAACCAACGTGACACCATTGGTTTTAGGGACCTCGAGGGTAATCAGATCGAGCACATCGACATGGAGGCGTTCGTTCCTATCTCCAAACTGGAGGACTTGTAAGTTTTTCATATAAAGCTCATTCGCTCTAAATCCGCAATAACTAAATATATCAAATATATGAGAGGTTGAGTCATTCTCATGTGGCCGTAATGCGTGGCCGCGTGTGCAGGAACGTGGGCAACAACGTGTTTCCGTGGCTGCCGGCGAGTGGGCTGCAGCGGCTGCTGCACCTCAAGGCCCACAACAACCCCAACCTGCGCCGCTTCCACCCACCACAATTATTTCCACGGATACAGGTCAAACTTCATCATAAATCTATTATCAATGATACTTTTCACTTCATTGCTGATCACATCTTCCCATTACTATTACAGCAGCAAACATTTGCACTTGCGTATCAAATCACCATAGATTTTCACCAACCACTATATCTTCCGCATCTTCGGAAACTGGGTTGTCGCGCAAACCTGCGTTTGAAACGAAAACAAATCTTCCTTTTTGAAGAAAAGTACCAGCAACCTCAAGTGATGTATTCGTCATTGATGTTGATACAGAATCCCTCTCAATCTAAGAGCTTGAAAACAGAGAAATAGCGTGAAAACCACATACTACATACTCCGGCAAAATGTACTTCTGTACATGGTGTTTAACACCATGTATAGCTTCCAGACTCGACGACTTCCAGCCTCCCGAACAAGCCGGATTCCGAAAAGGCTTCAGTACCATAGACCACATACATACCTTGCGGCAGATTATACAGAAGACCGAAGAGTATAATCTGCCTTTGTGCCTAGCGTATGTGGACTATGAGAAAGCCTTCGATTCTGTCGAAATTTGGGCGGTACTCCAGGCTCTTCAGCGGTGCCAAATTGACTGTCGGTATATCGAAGTGCTGCAGTGTTTGTATAACAAGGCTACGATGTCCGTCCAAGTACAGTCCAGTAGTACAAAACCTATCCAACTGCAGAAGGGTGTAAGACAGGGTGATGTCATATCCCCGAAACTCTTCACCGCTGCGTTGGAAGATGTTTTCAAGCTTCTGGACTGGAAAGGACGAGGTATTAACATCAATGGCGAATACATCACCCACCTTCGATTTGCCGACGATATAGTCATCATGGCAGAATCGCTGGAAGACCTGGGTGCTATGCTCAATGACCTCAACAGTGTCTCCCAACGGGTGGGCCTTAAGATGAACATGGACAAGACGAAGATCATGTCTAATGTCCATGTCACGCCTATACCGGTTGTTGTTGGGAGCACTGAGCTCGAAGTTGTTGACGAGTACGTTTACCTAGGACAGTTAGTCCGGCTAGGTAAGTCCAACTTCGACGCAGAGGTCAATCGGCGAATCCAACTCGGATGGGCAGCGTTCGGGAAACTTCGGCAAATATTCTCGTCGAATATACCTCAATGTTTGAAGACTAAAGTGTTCAATCAATGTGTGTTGCCAGTGATGACCTACGGAACCGAGACGTGGTCCTTCACTGCTGGCCGTATGAGGAAGCTCAAAGTCGCTCAGCGAGCTATGGAGCGGGCTATGCTCGGTATTTCTCTGCGTGATAGAGTTCGTAACGAAGACTAAGTCGCAACGAGTCCGCAGTAGATCTAAGATAACCGACATAGCTCAGAGGATTAGCAAGCTGAAGTGGCGATGGGCCGGCCATATAGCTCGTAGAACCGATAACCGTTGGGGAAGAAAGGTTCTCGAGTGGCAGCCTCGTACTGGCCATCGCAGTGTAGGACGACCCCCCACTAGATGGAGTGACGACCTGTGCAAATGTGCGGGAAGTCGATGAATGCAGGTGGCTCAGGATCGTGCTTCATGGCAGTCTGTGGGGGAGGCCTTTGTTCAGCAGTGGACTCAAACGGGCTGAAATGATGATGATGATGAACCTAATCTAACTTAAATAGGTTAATTGAATTCAAAATTAAAATTGATGATCGACGATGAAATCTGTTATTCTTTATATAGGAAAGGAGCTTCGCACAATTTAATTGCTTAAATTTGATTTTTTGATTTATTATGAACAATTTCTCAATTGCAATTGGTATATAAAAATGTATTCAATAGTTCAGTTGAATAAAAATAATTAATGTGATATCTCTGAATTTAAAAATATATTTTTTTCAATAACAATTGTGAATAACGTACACATAGTACAAACCTTGTAAAAGAGCTTTTTATTGATTACATACTTTTGCCCATTCTAAATATATATAACTCATAAAACGCGTTAGCGCTAACCTTTCCATATTTTCCATGATATTAATTGAAAATTTCATGTTAGCTATCTCCAAATGTAATGCGACGTCCATATTGCTATCAACTGTTGTTGTCGACAGAGCAGACCCTGGTGCTGTCGTATGCGTACCACTGCTGCGAGTTCATGCCGCCGGTGGAGGGGGCGGCGCGGGGGGGCGCCGAGGGCGAGGAGAGCGAGGAGGGGGGCTTCAGCGACCTGGTGCTGCTGCCGCCGCGGCGGGTCGACCTGGCCGCCTGGGCCAACGCCACCGACATCTGGCCCCACTACCGTCAGTACAACATTGACACACGCACATATGCAATTAGCATTATGCTAGCTGATTATTGAATGCCGAAGTATTACAAACGTTTTTGGTGTGTTATAGGTATCATTTTCGAGGTGTTTTTAATTTATCATCCGGCGCCACCATTTGGTCAACTATGTTATGTTAAAACATGTTGCCGTATTATAGATCTGATTTATACATAGCTCATTGGCATTAACAATTTATGTACCGTCGAACAACTAACATCCTCCTTTCTTAAATTCGGTTCACTGATACGTTGCTAAACACGAATACAATACGCAACGCATTTACTTAAACCAAAATACCTAGCAATCTGTACCCAAACTTAGGTCTTACACAACATAAACAATGCGAACTTTTGCAAAGAGATCTTTAACAAAATTAAGATTCATTTACCATTACAATACAGTAATCAAGGAGTATTTCAAAGCTTGCCCTTATTAAATTTTGATGAACCATGTCAAATAGTTCAGCACTTTATCTTCGTTATACATGATGGCAAATTCATTATGTAGGGGTTAAAATGGTTCATTTGATTTTTTTTATTATATTGATACTAGTTGACCCGGCAAACATCGTTTTGCTATATAAATTATTTGTAGGGTAGAAACAAATGTTTGGGGTGGACCACCCTTAACATTTAAGTGGATGAAAAATAGATGTTGTCCGATTCTCCACCCTGGCCGATATGCACACAAAATTTCACCAAAATCGGTCGGGCCGTTTCGGAAGATTTCATTTACAAACACCGTGACACGAGAATTTCATATTGTTCTTCGTCGTTCCCTCACTAATGAGGATCGTGACCATATGTAATTTGTCGCCATTTGCTTCTATCATGCGCCAGTTCAATGATCCTTGTAGAGTTTCTCCTGTTGCCTCTACAATACTTTTACTCCATCATGTTGGAAGTCGGCCCCTGGAGCGCTTGCCCTGCATCTGTCTCACGATTTTTTATTAATATTATTTTTTTATTAGAAGTTAATTACTTAAAGCTGATAACATTTGTAATAGCAAAAATGCTTCACTAGCCTTTAAAGTAGGCATAGGTACTTTGTGGAAGGTCCTAAAGTCATATCGATCCGGAAATACCGCTGAGCGCTCGTAGTAACAACTGATTCCACAAAGTAATTGCGCGTGACAGGCAATTTAATAATTAAAAAATATATTTATTTTTATTAAGTTTCGTAAAACATTTCATTCCCATGCGTGAACCATTAAAATTCATGTATGAATCACTCCATACTGTATTAGTCCTTCTTTAACTTCGTAGAGGATCTATGGATTGATGTAAATTTATAGTTAAAGATCAGTACCTGGAGGACCGAGCTTTGTTCGGTTTTTTTTGTTAAATCATGTATTTTGGAAATAAAAAAACTAGTAAAATGAAGAAAATGATCTGGTATAGAAAAAAAAGTAAAAGAAATAAGTGTGTAAATGATCGTGATATGAACCGCGGCCGTCTGTTTTGGGGCCGCCCGATTACCGACCGAGCTATTATAACTTTTTTTTTGCGGTGAAATTTACTGTCATATTCGAATGTTGAAATTATTTTTCATTCCAGTCCTCCGGGTACTATGTATATATATATATATATATATATATATATATACATAGTACCCGGATATATATATTCAAGACACTAGAATTACTCGTTAAAAGGATAAGATACAATCGGAATCTTCAAAAAGGGCAGTTTATTTTTTTTTATCATTTTAAAATGGCCAAAAGATCAAGATCTCATCTTTTTAGAAATAGTTCCCAGGCGAGGGCATCAAAAACACGCCGTAATGAGGAATTTTTACCGGAAAGTGTAAATCGTCTTACAAGTCGGAGAGAGTCAAGTAGAGCGGCTTGAAGAGCAAAATAATATAAATATACAAATTCACAGTAGGGAATCGAGCTCTGAGCGTTCCCAACGACTACGAAATTAGAGAAAGACAACAAACGTCAACGACTAGAGTTCGTAATCGACTTTTAGCTCACAGTAACAGATCAGCTTTAATACATTAAGCTCAACAGTCTTCCGTCCAAATCGGAACCATGAATAAGATCTGCTCTAAGTATTCTGCCAAAAAAATGGGTCGATGAACCAAATGGTATGTGCTGTGCTTCTGGAAAAGTTAGCCTCCCCAATATTGAGGAGCCAAAAAATCATTTGACAAATAATCAATCACCATCTGGACATTTTTAACGAACATCGAAAGTGCAATAGCCTCTTTCAAATGACTGCGTTTGACGCGAACTTTTAAAATGGAGGGACAAGTATACAAGTTATCATCATCCTTCTGCCCCTATCCCATCTAGGTGGGGTCAGCACAACATGAATCATGTTGTAAACGGTTTTGGCTATATTTTTACAACTAGCCGCCTGCCTGACGATAATACCTCCTTAGGAAACAAATACCCAGATCAAATTTCAACTGTGTAACTATCACGGTTCATGAGATACAGCCTGATACAGCGGAGTCTTAGTAATGGGCTCCCGTTTTACCCTTTGGGTACGGAATCCTAAAAAGGCCCCAGAGATAATTATAGTGTTGCACGGTAGTCACGTCCAACTTAAAAGGGTCTCCGAGTTACACCGATTGTATGATCCACTAAAATATCCCTTAATAGTCATAATAGGAGAAGACGGTTAATATTTGACTATTCCTCAGCAAGGTACTGTGCGTAACAAAACTGTGACATGCATGTAATTTTATGCATTTAGGTTGATGGTTAGAGCTACCTGTTTTAATCCATTGCATCTATTACTGGGACTCATTAGGGTTCCGTACCCAAAGGGTAAAACCGCACCTTATTACTAAGACTCCGCTGTCTGTCTGTATGTCCGTATGTCTGTCCATATGTCACCAGGCTGTATCTCATGAACCGTGATAGTTAGACAGATGAAAGTTTCACAAACGATGTATTTCTGTTGCCGCTATAACAACAAATTCTAAAAAACAAAAATAAGTGGGCTTCCATAAAACAGACATGATTTTTTTGCCGTTTTTATAGATAATGTTGACAGTAGTAGTGTTTTTGACAATATCTAAGTGTGATACTTCTATTGAATACAGATATTAAAACATGATTTTTTTTAATGTGATAGAGTGGCAAACGAGCTGGCGGTTCCTCTGATAGTGATAACAACTATGTTGCCATCATTAAAAAAGTGGGCCCCGGTTATCTCTCTCACCAGACGAAACGTACACTTCTATTTTACGCCGGTCTTCTGTGAGGTCGGTACAGAACCCTTCGTGTGCGAGTCCGACTCGCACTTGGCCGGTTTTTATTCAATAAATTGTCGATATGACGGCAAAAAGAATTACATATGATGATGTCGTAATCATCAGAGATTGAGGGCTGGTGAAACATTAATCTTAGAGTCGCTTTAAATCAAGACATTGGCCCATCAAACCTTGGTCAACGCGTAATCTGCAACGTCATATTCATTTACAGGTTCTCTGAGTTATCTGCATTAAAAAACCAAAGATGCGATGATTTATGTCCAAAGCTATGGGAGACCAGACGTCCCGTAATTAAAGCGGAACCATTCTCTGGTCAGCGGTCTTTCGATCTTCATGACGCAATTTCAAGGGTATTTCATTAAAAGATGAAGAAATTCATAAAATTATTCATCAAAGACGAAATATTCGGAAGGTTTTATGTTTGTGTATGATATATATATATATATATATTTATGAATTTCTTCATCTTTTAATATAATATATATATATATATATATATATATCTTTTAATATAATATATATATATATATATATATGGAGTTAGTTTGGAAGCTCCAGACCGACACAACTCATTCCCATGGGAAGATCCCCAGTAAGATGCGTATTTGAAACACTCCATACATAAATTTATACATACATACGTACTTTTTCTACAAATTTTAATAAATAAATTTATAAATTTTTTAATTTATAAATAAATTTATTTATTTATAAATTTATAAATTTTTAAATTTATAAATAAATTTATTTATTAAAATTTGTAGAAAAAGTACGAAAAGAAGAATTTGTAGAAAAAGTTTTTCTCATTCATCTCTCGTTCGAAATATCATTGTAAAACGATATTCGAAATTGTTTGTATGCTGGAAAGGATATAACAATGGATGTGCCAAGCATTGTTTCCATTGCTAAAAAAACAATGTACATAAAAGACGGTTTTCGTCAAATACATAACATTTGCAAGTATGTACTGAGAACAGCAACAGTCAATATTTTTATTTCTTTAACCATTGCGATTCTTTGGAGCCCAGATTATAAACTCCTCTCGCAGAAGATTGCGTCTTCGTGTTCACGTGTCCCCGGCCGATGCAACGGAGACAGATGTAACGTGGGTTTTTTAGTGGGTACCCGTTGGGGACCCACCCCCACATACCCCTGTTCCTCCCCCGATTCGGTGCTCTCTTTTGCAGAATGAAGATATTGTTTATGTCGGCCGCGTTTCCCCTAATGCCAGAATGCCATCAGACATTGTACTATGAAAATAACTAAAATACACCAAACGAGCCGTATCCACATTAGTTAATTGTCTTATTTTCTTAACCGCGAATGCTGCTGAGCTAAGTCTACTCGCCAGGTTATTAAAATAGGGGCCCCATTGCATCTATTTGGCATCTAAAACGACTGTAAATCAAATGAATAAAAATATTATACGTTAAGCTGCTAGCGGTACTAGAGACTAAGTTCTGGAAGTGCATGGCACGGAGATAATGAGTGAGGAATGCGCCACGCCATAGGCAACGTTTCAAAAAACAGTAAAAACCATAGATGATACACTTATATATTGAGAATATACACACATATTGGTAAAAACCGTGTGCACTCACACAAATGCAAAGCTGTACTCACGCCTAGAGATATGTACTTTATAGTTGTTTTTCAAGATGCGAATTGAAATTTTATTGGGATACTAGCTGTTGCCCGCGACTACGTCCGCGTGGAATAGGATGAAAGCGAAAAATTCAGACAAATACAGACAGATATCTCCTTTATCAACACATTGGAACCCAAAACAATGGTTGTTAAAATTTTTGTCCGTGTGTATGTGCGTTTGTGCGCGTAATCTCGGAAACGGCTTAACCGATTTGGGTGCAACTTTCACTTATGCATTGTAGTACTTCACTTAACATTTAGTGTTAGTTTTATTCAAATCGGTTCATAAATAAAAAATTTATATCAACTTAAAAAAAGTAATCGCTACAGCTGAATTGGATGTAACTATAGTTAACTACAATTATATTATGGTCTGTAAAATGATAATGATTGTTAGATTATATAAATTTAAAAACCAGCCAAATGCGAGTCGCAATCGTGAACGAAGAGTTCCATACCATAATGTATAAAAAAAGGCAATAAAATTATGTCTGTTGTATGAGAGCCCCACTTAAAAAAAATATTCTGATTTACTTTATTTGTTGTTATAGCGTGAACAGTGAAAATTTCAACTGTCTAAATATCACAGTTTATGAGATACATGAATCAAACAGATGCTAGCAGTCTAGCTAGCATCAGTTTGTTTGAACTCACTAATCTCAGCTATTCGATTCGAAAAATTATTGCACTGTTTCCGATTAGAAAAATTATTGCACTGTTAGATAGCCAATTTATTGAGGAATACTTTTTAAGCACGATATAAAATGTGGTACATACGGGCCGAACCGCGGGCGAAAAGCTAGTGTACAATAAAATATCACTTTAAATACCACATTCATAGTTTTGCCTTCTGGGAAACAATGACTATGGGTCACACAAATAATTGCCCACCCACGCCGAAGGCAATGCCTTGACAACTGCGCAATGGTCAGTGATCTAGCGAGTGGTATTCACGAATTAACATATAACTGACTCCAATGTGCGAGATAATGAATGGTGTCTATGGCGAAATGGGTATCAGCACTAAGTCGTGTTTGGTTTTCATTAGATTGTTGAGATGAAATCGTTCTCATTCTTTTAAATTCTATCGAGGCATTTTTGTAATAAATACTAAAAGGTAAATTCAATGATTTAGAAAATACTACAAAATAAGTATCTTAATTAAAAAAAAATAATATACAATAACACAATTTGTGAGTCAGTGATAAAAAACAAACATAATTTCCAAACGACAAAGCAAAATAATATCCGAATATCCTTTTTTTTTTTGTTAAGGTGGGGGAAATGCCTAACGCATACCCACCCTCGCGGGGGCGAGAGTGGGTTATGTCGGACTCGCACCGACTAAAACCCCCACGATATTCCACCTAGGCGCATATAGGCAGGGCCACGGGAACGCTTTCGCACACTTCCGCGACCCTGCCAGCGCTGGCCGCCTCAGCAGCCCCCTCTCGGGGAACAACCCCCTATCCTCCAGGCAAGGCGCGCTGGAATATTCAGCGCGCCTTCCTACTCGGCCCCTTTAATATCCGAATATCCTAACTTAACCAAATCTACAGCGTGTCGTTACCATCGCGACAATAAATGAACACACGTCTAACGCTACTTGCCAATAATCATAAAAAAATATTAACGTCAAACAAAATCCATAATTAAAAAAAAATATTTTTCAAACAAACTAATTAAGTAAAAAAGAAACAAAATTTGTAACATCCTATACAACTCGCGCCACAGCGTCGTATTACAAGCCTCTCCTTCTTACAGTATGTTTTGTCTCTTTTAAATTGCTTTTATAGGTAAGGGTGTTCTAAAATTCTTTGTTTTGGGAAAATTTAATAACTGTAAATATTGATGTTTAAAGAATTTAAATGTTTAATACAACTTTGAAAAGTTATCCCCTATATGTGTGTTCATTTATTGTCGCGATGGTAACGACACGCTGTATATTCCTAAACAGTGACAGATCTGTCCGTTGGTCACCCTAGGCTCATTAAAGATTAAGAGAAAAGACTCGCTGGAAGGCACAAAAAATTAAACAAAGAAAGTTAGTACATGATATTATGGAGCCGACGAATGGTACCTATTTATCAGGCCCGCTTGATTTGTTATAATATTCATGGAATATCGCCTACGCAAAGAAGCGAAAGGCGAAAGGCAAGCAACGCTACTAAAAGACCCCACCAATTTGCAGCCCCCTACATTTGGCCCGCCGAGTACGCGGCCTATAGAGAAATCCACTACTGTTCCTAACAACTAACCAAATCGCAAACCAAAATCAAGAATATCCCTATACCGAGCAAAACTAAAATCGTACCAGTCGTATAAATCTCAATTGAAGAAATTCGCATTATTATTATTAAAATGCAAATGGTCGGCACTTGTCCCTTAATTAACTTGTGAAAATATGTATACAGCGCATTTTATCAAGAACAACGCCATCTAGTTTTAACTAATTGGAACTAATTCCTTATCTTTTTACTTAGCTTTTTTTAGTGAACCAATTGCAATAAAACAAAGCTCTAATGTTGCACAGAATTAATCTTGAATACTTACAAAAACACCATACAAATTAGTCCAGTAGTAGAATAAGTGTGATAATTGTTTGCGACTGCACTGCTTTAATCTTAAAACTCCCATATCTCCCGTTTGAGCGAACCGATTGAGATGAAACAAAGCCTAGGTCCTGCCCCAAGCTTTGCTTAATTAACCAGTGAAAACTGCATCAAAATCCGATAAGTAGTTTTCAAGTTTATCGCTAACAGACAGACAGACAGACAAAATTTCTAAAAATGGTTTTTATGCTTCCTATAACACTTTTTATGATATCCTTTTTCATTTTTTTCATAAAAATATTCAATGTACAGACACGCCGATTCTACTCTTTTATTATAGTATAGATTATAATTTTTAATAATAAACAATTATCGTCTTAATTCCTTAGCATTTTCAATTAGCTAAATACTGTGTGTCACCAACGTGTGTAAAATTTCGTAATTCCCACAGGAAAATGTGAAAGTCAAAATCTATTTCTCAAACTTGATGGACTGTAGAAAACATGTGCCTAACTAAGTTAATGCCTTCGATTCAGTGAATGCGACCGGATCGGGTGCTGGCGCAGCTTGGAGCAGCGAGCTGATAGGCGAGTTGCGCGCCGCCCCGCAGCCTCGCGTGCGATGTCTGCCGCTGCCTGGTGAGTGTTCAATCCTACTGGAGTAAAAATACACACCAACTATTGTGACAGTCCGACGATCTTATGCAGTCCAATTCAAAAAGCAATGACTTGAGTGTGGCGCTTCGCTGTACGTGTCTAACGATGATGCACAACAGGGCCGTTCTTGCCGTGCGTGGACCTGTTCGACTGGTGGACGCTCCGCTGCGGCGTGTGGGCGGTGTTCCTGCTCGCGTTGCTCGGCAACGGTACCGTCGTGTTCGTGCTGCTGTTCAGCCGCAGCCGCATCGACGTGCCACGTTTTCTCGTCACCAATCTTGCCGCTGCCGACTTCTTCATGGGCGTATATTTAGGTGACTCAAGTCTTTATTTCTTGGACTTACTTTAGGATAACATTATCCTGTGTTGTAAGCACGTTTTACAAACATAAATTTCACGTGAACAAAAAACAACTATCTGTGGGTTACGCAAATAGTTATCCCCTGTCGGAATCGAACCCAGGACCCCCGACTCCGAAGTACTACATCAATTCGACTCGATCCATCTATTTGTTCCCGTTTTTTCCCTTCGCTTATTTGTTGAAATTTCTTCAGGCTTCTTAGCGGTAGTGGACGCGGGCACCCTTGGGGAGTTCCGAGCGCACGCCATCTCGTGGCAGATGTCGGGCGGGTGCCGCCTCGCCGGCTTCCTTGGGGTGCTGTCGTCCGAGTTGTCCGTGTACACTTTGGCCGTGATTACCCTGGAGCGGAACTACGCCATCACCCACGCGATGCACCTCAACAAGCGGCTGTCGCTGCGGCACGCGGCCGTCGTGATGGCGGCGGGCTGGGGCTTCTCGCTCACGGCGGCCGCCTTGCCCCTTTTCGGGGTCAGCGACTACCGCAAGTTCGCCGTGTGCCTTCCCTTCGAGACCGGCACGCCCCTCTCGCTCGGCTACGTGGTGGCGCTGCTCGCGATCAATGGCGTCGCCTTCCTCGTGCTGCTCGGCTGCTACCTGAAAATGTATTGCGCGATACGCGGCTCCCAAGCGTGGAACTCGAACGACTCCAGGATAGCGAAGCGTATGGCTCTGCTCGTGTTCACGGACTTCTTGTGCTGGTCGCCCATCGCGTTCTTCGCCCTCACGGCCGCCTTCGGGGCGCAACTCGTCTCGCTCGAGGAGGCGAAGGTGTTCACCGTGTTCGTGCTCCCGCTCAACTCGTGCTGCAACCCGTTCCTCTACGCCATACTCACGAAGCAGTTCAAGAAGGACTGCGCACTGGTGTGCAAGGCCATCGAGGAGTCGCGGGTGACGCGCGGCATCGGGCGCTGCCGGCACTCGTCCAACTTCAGCAACCGCCAGACGCCGGCCAACACCAACAGCCTGGCGGAGCGGTCGTCGCGGGGCCAGCACGGCGCGCAGTGCGCGTGCCGGCGGCTGCTGCCCCCCGGGGGCGGCGCCGCCGCGGCAGCCGGGCCCGGCGCCCCCGCGCGGGCCGTCGCGGGCCGCTCGGGGCGCGCGGGCGGCGAGCGGCTGCTGCGGTGGCTGCGCGCGTGCGGGCGGCGCGCGCCCCCCGCGCCCCCCGCGCCCCGGCCCGCCGCCGCGCCGCCCGCGCGCACCGGCCCCGTGTCGTCGTCGGTGGAGTTCTCGTCGTCGCGCTCCGACTCGTGGCGCGCGTACGGGCGGGCGCCGCCGCCGCCGCGCCGCGCCGCCTCCTGGCTGGTGGCGCGCAAGACGTCGCAGGACTCCAACCTGTCGTCGTCGCGCAACGCCTCGTCGGGCTCGAACGCGACGGCGTCGACGGGCACGTGGCGCACGTCGCGCTCGGGCGGCAGCGGCGCGGCGGCAGCGGGCGCGGCGGGGGCGGCGGGGGCGGCGGGGGGAGCGGCGGGCACGCAGGGCGGGCCCCGGCCGCGGCTCACGCGGCAGCCGGCCGTCTCCGCGGAGGAGCCTCCCGCCTCGCCGGGCGCCGCGCTGCCCGCGCCTCGGCTCCTGCACACCATCCCGTCGGCCGCCGAGACGGAGCCGGCGCCGGACGAGCCCTAGCCGCCCCGCGCCCCCCCCCCCCCCCCCCGCGCCCCCCCCCCCCCCACGCAACCGTCCACCGTCAGTGCCGCCGCGGCCGACGCCCCCTCCGAACGAGCACGTCGGTCGCGAGACGAGGCATTTGAATTGCAAATAAATTATTTATGCTACATTGTACAGTATTATAAACCATGACAATTTTTTAAGTACCTATGTATAGTTACGAAAAATGATGTTATTTATTTAGGACAATTTTAAGGATAAGCTCCTTAGGAGAAATGTTAGCTGTAGCTTTATTTACACAAAATATGTATACTGATCGTTGTTACCATGAAAATATACAAACGCTAAGTGATATTAATATAAAATTTAGATGGGAGTATTGATGAGGTGCGGAGAACAGTATTGTTTACTACTAAATGCTCAGTAGTTATATAAAGAGTTGTCTCCAATGTTTTTAACTTAAAATATACGTAAATGTAACTATTAACGATGAGTCCGAACGAAGTGAAAACCTATAGACTATTATATGACCTGCATAAAGTACTATATTATGTACAAATGTTTTATAAAGTTTTTACAAGTCCAGATCCCTTTTTGTATAAAACTTTAATTAATTTTCTATCGACGATAAAGGACCTAGTATGGCGCTTTACTTTCTTCCTCTATCAAAACATAACCATTGCAACGTTACGTAATCTGTTATTTTCCGAAAGCAGGATTTCGAGGGAGAAGCTAATTTGAATCAACAGACGTTTCGAGATTTTTTTGCTCATAAATGTTTCCGCCCTAAGACCGTGAAATGTTGAGAAACCATTTGTATTTTTAAAATATACCAGACGTAAAAGTAAGATTATTATGATTAGCATATTGTATGTTGTCAGTTGATCTGTTAATGACTGTGCGTCAATTGTGTGCAATGTCTATTTATTGAGCGTGCCTGCGAGTGGTTGCCTTTGAGCGATATTTATTTCTACATTACACTACACTCGTGTTAATTTGTTGTTTCATTTACGGTTAAAAATATATAAATAATTATGTTTTAAACACCTCTCTCTGTGATATCGACATTGCAGGGAACGTTGTTCTTTGTTTGTTTAGTGAATTTATACATTTTTTATTTAATGGCAATTAAAATATCCCATTATCAGTCTGCGGCAGACTTCAGCAGTCTAAATGCAGATATGATCATTCATATCTTAAAGTATGACAGTATGGTTATTATATTTACCTATTATTTAACCATTAGTAAGTTTTTTTTTTTTTTTTTCTTGTATTTACGCGATTACACATTATAAATGAAACTAATTTTACGGATTTATCGCGTTTATTTTTAATTTTAATTCCCGACGTTTCGAACCCTTTACAGCGTTCATGGTCACGGGACAGACTGAGGTGTTAGACGTCTGATTGTCATAGTTAACCCGGGCTACCGTCAGTTTTTGAATTATTAATTTTGTGTCCGATCTATGCAGAGGGAGCTAATTGTATCTTGTCTTGCAGTAGTGGTTCGTTTGGGCCTAGATTTAATTTTATTGATGACAGGATCCCAAGCTGATGGTAGTACCCAACCTTCTTCTCTATTGAAATTAGGGGTGTTTTTTTAATTTCAATAGCCTCGCGAATCATCCTTGGGAGGAATCGGTGTTCTTTTGCAAGGATCTGTGGTTTGTCAAACCTGATGTAGTGGTTGGGTCTATTCAAAATGTGCTCACAAACTGCAGACTTGTTCAATCTATTGTGTTTGATGTCAGCTATATGTTCTTTCACGCGGGTTTTTATTGCTCTTTTCGTTTGACCTATGTAAGAGAGCCCACATTCACAGTCAAGTTTGTACACTCCTGGATCTTGCAGAGGGATATTACACTTGACAGATGGTAAAAACTGACTAATCTTCCTCAGCGGCTTGTAGAATGTATTAATTGAAGCCTGCTTTAAGATATAGCCAATCTTGTCGGTGACTCCTCTGACGTATGGTAGAACAGCAGGTACTCGCTCCACTGTGGCTGGTTTCACTCGGTCACTGTGACGTAGGCGCGGTGCTCGAAGCTTGTTGTCATGCAGAACTTGCTTGACATGTTGAAGCTCAGCGGCCAGGTGTTGTTGGTCACAGATCCCTTGTGCTCTCTGAAACAAAGATTTACCCACGGTAGCTAACTGGGATGGATGGTGGTGAGAATCACCGTTTAGGTATCTATTTGTATGGGTTGCCTTCCTATACACAGTGTGACTTACAGTGTTATTTGGATTGCGGATGACCAAAACATCTAAGAAAGCTAAAGAGTTATTATGCTCTAATTCCATAGTGAATTGTATTTTGGAATTTACTGAGTTAAGGTGGTTTAGAAATGCATTAACTTTACTTGTTGGTAAAATGGTGAAGGTGTCATCTACATACCTCTTGTAAAACCTTGGATAAATGGGAGCTGTGCGAAGGGCCTTCTCCTCAAAGTCTTCCATAAATATGTCAGCGACAATGGGAGATACTGGGCAGCCCATTGCTACACCATCTATCTGTATGTAAAATTCCTCCTTCCAAAGCAAGTAGCCGGATGTTAGGCAATGTTTAAGTAGTAATGCATACTCTTCCGGCATGTTATTATCTTTTAGCTTTCTTGTTACAATTGAGATGCAGTCTTCTAATGGTAGGCATGTAAATAAAGACTGTACATCAAAACTGACCATTGTTTCATTGTCAGCAAGACATAGTTGTTTTATCTCACTAACAAAATGGTAAGAATCCTTTGTGTATGCCCTTGTGTGTCCTCTCAGTGGTGAGAGAATTCGTACTAGATGTTGAGCCAGTCTGTAAGTTGGTGAGTCGATCTGGCTTACAATAGGACGTAATGGTATGTCTGGTTTGTGTATTTTAGGCAACCCATACAATTTTGGGGGTTTAGCACATGAAGGTGTCATCGATTTCACGTCTAGATTTAATTTTTCGGAGTATTTTTTAATGAGATCGCTAGTTAATTTAAGAGTTTTAGTGGTTGGGTCTGTTTTGACCTTTTTATACGTGCTTACATCCGACAACAGTTCTTGTATTTTCAAATTATAATCCGACGTTTTCATAACCACCGTAGCATTTCCTTTATCTGCGCGGAGAACAGTTAAATCTTTGTTTTTGCGTAAGCTGTTTAACGCGTTAAATTCATCTTTAGGGAGGTTAGACTTCGGTACCGAACTTCGACGTAATAAGGACGAAATATCTTGTCGTATACCTTCTAAATCTTCCTTACCGATGTTATTTTTATATAAACAGTCCTCGACACTACAGATTATTTCTTCGTACTGTATAAGGAGAAGGCCCTTCGCACAGCTCCCATTTATCCAAGGTTTTACAAGAGGTATGTAGATGACACCTTCACCATTTTACCAACAAGTAAAGTTAATGCATTTCTAAACCACCTTAACTCAGTAAATTCCAAAATACAATTCACTATGGAATTAGAGCATAATAACTCTTTAGCTTTCTTAGATGTTTTGGTCATCCGCAATCCAAATAACACTGTAAGTCACACTGTGTATAGGAAGGCAACCCATACAAATAGATACCTAAACGGTGATTCTCACCACCATCCATCCCAGTTAGCTACCGTGGGTAAATCTTTGTTTCAGAGAGCACAAGGGATCTGTGACCAACAAACACCTGGCCGCTGAGCTTCAACATGTCAAGCAAGTTCTGCATGACAACAAGCTTCGAGCACCGCGCCTACGTCACAGTGACCGAGTGAAACCAGCCACAGTGGAGCGAGTACCTGCTGTTCTACCATACGTCAGAGGAGTCACCGACAAGATTGGCTATATCTTAAAGCAGGCTTCAATTAATACATTCTACAAGCCGCTGAGGAAGATTAGTCAGTTTTTACCATCTGTCAAGTGTAATATCCCTCTGCAAGATCCAGGAGTGTACAAACTTGACTGTGAATGTGGGCTCTCTTACATAGGTCAAACGAAAAGAGCAATAAAAACCCGCGTGAAAGAACATATAGCTGACATCAAACACAATAGATTGAACAAGTCTGCAGTTTGTGAGCACATTTTGAATAGACCCAACCACTACATCAGGTTTGACAAACCACAGATCCTTGCAAAAGAACACCGATTCCTCCCAAGGATGATTCGCGAGGCTATTGAAATAAAAAACACCCTAATTTCAATAGAGAAGAAGGTTGGGTACTACCATCAGCTTGGGATCCTGTCATCAATAAAATTAAATCTAGGCCCAAACGAACCACTACTGCAAGACAAGATACAATTAGCTCCCTCTGCATAGATCGGACACAAAATTAATAATTCAAAAACTGACGGTAGCCCGGGTTAACTATGACAATCAGACGTTTAACACCTCAGTCTGTCCCGTGACCATGAACGCTGTAAAGGGTTCGAAACGTCGGGAATTAAAATTAAAAATAAACGCGATAAATCCGTAAAATTAGTTTCATTTATCATTAGTAAGTTTTAAATAAATTGTTCCGTATTACAATGTTAAATTCAATAATTTCTTTAAATGATCGGGTAATTTACCTCAAGCATAGTAAAAGTTTGTACGGGTTAAGGGAAGAATCTAAAATCACAAATAGCTTTTATATAAAGAATCGTCACAAATAACATCGTAGAAAATTATTATCACATTTATTTCTGATCTTTTTTGTTATTAACAGTATGTTGACTCAGTACCTTCACGTGTATTATGAATACAAATTTATTTTAAAGCAATCGCAAAAAAGCAAGTTTACATTTTTTACGCTAACGACAGGCCGCAGCCACACCCTATATTCTCTCATTGTTGTTTTTTCTCATTAATAACATGCAGAGTTATACTGAAAAACAACTCGTGTATTCGAAAATAGATTCCTGACTTATGTACGAAACATAGAGAGAAATATTATTAATATAGTCAAGATAAAGTACAATAATAAAGAAACGAGATAGTATAAATATATACATCAGGCAGTTGCAAGCAAATGTGCGATTAGGTCGGTTCGCTTGATGCTCGAGTAAGTGGCACGTGAGTTCTGGCGGGCGCGGAGTTTTGCGTCGGAGCGTCCGTGGCGGCGGGGCGCGGCTGTGGGGCCTCGTCGGGCGGCGGGTGCGAGGCCTCCGCCGCCTCGTCGGGCTCCCGGAGGGCGGAGCGCCAGGCGCGCCGCCGCCGGAACTCCGCGAACTCCCGCGACAGCTCCACCAGCTCGTCGGGCCTCCGTCGCCGCTCGCTCGCCGCCAACACCTCCGCCGATTCGCACAGATCCTGCTCCTCGTCCACTTCCTGGAAATATTACGATAATACTCTAAACATACATACGCGTAAACTATATAACACAAATTTCACTTCAAACTCTTCCAGTTTTCTTTTTTCAGATTACTCGTATATCTACTTAACGTACAAAAAGGCAGAAGCCGACGTTGACGTAATACGATAGAACCATAAACGAAAATTAAAACTATTATATATAACTAAGTTTGATCAATAAAGAACCTTGAGATAAAAGTCTAGTTTATCTGAACATCACAATGCGGGCCACGTGAAGGTAATCTCCAGAACACTATACGATTGTTTTATTCATACTGGTAGCTATTTATGCACGATACGCCACGTCTATAGTTTCAGCCCTTTATTTTTCTTACATTACTTACCAATCATGGTAGAAAAGTGGTATCAATAACTATTAATATGTTTGTGGATGACATTCACTATTATTTTAAGTTAAAAGGATAAACACAAGAACAATCAAATAATACTATACCACTAGTACAGTTAAGTTGCATTACTAAAGCAAGCGATACGTGCTGGCTACAGGTAGATACTATGGCTTCACGTAAGTCACTACGGCATCTTTTTTTTTATTTCTTTATATCGCATCACACAGTAACAGAACATTACACTTGAGCAATTTATATTAGAACATAAGTGAATATTGAACAATAATAAAATGTAAAAGTAAAAAGAACACATCATGTACATAAAAAGTATTGCTGTCTACATGTACCTACACAATTTTTTTAGTTATATTTATTTTTCCACTCAGAACTCAATTATGCTATGAATCATTGAAATTGGATTTCAATAATTCCATTATTTAACTTTAAATAAAACTTTGATACTTCTTAGTTTTTCACTTTATTTCACACACTTTATCATTTACCATGGTGCCTATAGTTTAGGAACCGTAGACCGAACTTGCACTAAATATCGAGTAATTCCGAAATATAAATGTCACATGAGTATGTTTAAGCTACTCAGGGGATAGTAAGGAACAATATATTTTGCAAGGGTAAATGAGGACGAAAAAGAAATATGTATCTCTTGTTACAGCTCAGTAAAATTCAGATTTAAATGTCATTTAGAATTACCCAAACATACTTCGGAGTTGCATTTACACAACAAAAAAGAATCTAGAAATTTAAATTGCTTATAGTGCTATTCTTTGCACTTAAGATTGAACATTAAAATATGTAGAAAAAGTGCGAAAGGACTGTTGCTTCAAATGCTAAGAAAACAATGTAGAAGAGTGCGTTAAGATTTTCGTCGGTGTGGCAATCAGCCGTTTAGCTCAGTGGCTAGAGCGTCAGGACGCGAATGCCGAAGACGTGGGTTCGATTCCCACAGCGGCGACAGTCTTTTCGCACTTTTTCTACATATTTTAAAAAAGAATCTAATTTTGAAATAGTTTTATTGTAAAATACTGAGAATATTAATAATAGTCATTGAATAATGTTTTAAGATGTAAGCATATTCAAGTAAACTATGCGACCTTAGTTGATAGCGTTAACTACACCAATTCTGACTGGTAAACGAAGATCACACATACACATTGCGTAAACTATTCTCAAATCCTTTCGTAATTACCCGAATGACAAATAATAACAAAAAGTAAAAATAGGAACAAAAAACTATTAAATGATAATAAAATGAAAGAAATGTCAACAAATGATAATTAAACAGCATAACACTTTTAAGCAAATCAACTTTTTAACGCTCCGGTCTTTCTGGTTTTGTCGTACAATAAGAGTTTACAACTTTCTAGGTCACTATTTGAAATTTAAATATTAAATAAATACCATTTACATTACTTTTTAATTAAACAATTTAATAGGCCATCGCCGACATAGAGCATTATATTTTTTTTTCTTGGCTGGATCAACCACTATTGGCCTTGGGAGGCCTTTACAGTTCCACCGGGCTTGAGGTGGCCGGGCGCTTAGGGCGCCTAGCCTGTAACTCGATTTTGGAGCCTCGGCTCGAGCCATCACACTATTAGTATTAGTACTGGTTTCGGAGCCCGCCGAACTCTTAGGGCGCTTTGGCGGACGCTCCATAAAGCGATTATGGTCAAGGGCCACCGGGAGGGGACCGCGGCTTGGGCTATTACTCAGGATGTGGGTGGTGCCCGAGAAGGCTGGACCTGGGCTCGATCGGTTACTGTAGTCTAACTTGGAGGATTTCTAAAGCTATCGTTACGACCACTTCGGAAAACATTGACGATGGGAGAACGATATGTGTGGAAGTGATGGAACATAGAAAGAGCGCTCTGCTCTTTCCCTGTTCACTTATTTGTTCGATACAATGACATCAGGTCTATTTTTTAACGAATGCGTTTTTGCGATCGTAATCACGGCTTTATATCCGTCAGCAGCACAAATTGTTTTACTGAGTGCAGATGCGTTTATGAAACGAAACGGATATCGCGAGGTATGACATAATGTGGTTTACCTAAATAAGCAAGCGTCCGTAGTGTGTGGGCGCACCTTAATCTCGGCGAAGGTGACTGGCGTGGTGCGGTGGCGCAGCCGCGACTCCTGGCGGCGCCGGCGGCGCCCTCGCGCCAGCGCCGACGCAGACGCGGGGTATACCGCCTCCATGCCGCTCCTCTTTGCTGATCACTTCCTCGCCACGGGCATTGGGGCCCCTGTACGCGCACGACCTAAGTGCTCAAGCCCGGTTATGTGTTGTCTGGTGGCAAAGGTCGTCCGGCCGAATTACTAACACGCTGCGTAGGTACTTAATAAACGAACGCAGTGATCAACCACGTGAGGAGTCCGTTAATTCGATTTCACGAGGTCGACGCTGCGGCCAGGAATCCAGCCAAGTGTTACATTACACTCGCCCGCCACGAAATGTACTGCGTAGACAAGTCGCTTAATTCTAATTCACTTCCGTGGTTCCAGATTCATATTAAAAAAAAAAAAAGAATTGCGTGTTTTGCTGTTTAAAAAATGAATACCCGTTTTATTCGGGCTTATGAGTTTTATCAAGAAAAGCGGCCAGAGCACTGCACTCGCCGCCGCCCGCGCCGCGCCGACCGCGACCGACCGTCGACCTAATTACTATTTTGCCAATAACTCCAGCGAGCACTAATGTAGTACAAACAATATTATATCCGGCGCGTGCATAGGTAACATTTCGAATTTATATAGAATTAATTTGAATTATTGAATTAGAAATTATATTTAAAAGGAACGATTTAAAGGAATTAAATCTGCCCGACGCACAATAATAAATCGGCTGGGATTTGGGAATGGCGGGCGCGGCGGAGGCGTCGCGGCGGAAAACTGCAAATGTTTGGCTTATTTTTTCCCGAGAATCGGTATGTTTTGGTGCGCGGCCGCGGGCCGGTGGCGAACTGCCAGCGCCGCTCCGCGCCCCCTCACTCTGTGCTGTATACAAACAACTCGCGGAAATCCACACAAACAATACGGCCCCTAGTCTTTTGGATTACTTACGTCACGGAAATGTGTATTGAATTAAACGAGTGCTCTTAACTCTTGGCGCACGGTGAACGTCTTCTACTGGCTCTTTTTTTTTTCACAAAGTAAAGTTATTATATTATTGAGAATAAATTCCCGAATAATTTATAATAATAAAATTCAGATATACTGAATTACACTTTTACCACGAGTTTTCTCACTTTTAATAATGATATAATTTTTACAGTTCGTATTACTATTACAACCTTAAAAAATAAATGTAATATAAATTATAGATAAATATGATTTGTTGGGTTATCTTAAAACGATATTCATATTAGGTTTTTCACAAATATCTACGCATGCTCAGAAAAACTTCTATTCGTATACTACAAATTATTCGTGAAGAGGTGTAACTAAAAATATTATTCTTCCTGAAATTTAGCAAATCACAAATCAAAAAATCCTGTATAGAATCAAAAATGTGACTGAAAGCTTGGCTTAATTAAGAGTTAACTATGCTATGGAAAATGGAAATTACAACACTTTCTGGTTTTTAATGTTTGCGTAGAAGTCAGATATATTATCATTTTGTGTGTGGGTATAATAAGTACTCGAGTAGATTTATACCTTCATCAGACGAGGACGTGTCTGAACGTGGCAACCTTTGGATTTATGGAGAGAGAGGCAAATAGTGCACGCATTCCATTTGTGGGTACAGGGCGTGTAGTTTTTGTTTGTTGTGGAAATATGATATCAGTTATTGCAAAAGATTTGTACGTATAGGCAGTGCACAAAAGGAAATACCCAGATTGTTGGAAATATGCGATTGTTTAAATTGATCAAATGGCAGACTTAATATCGACTGAGGGATTTTATTTTGAGGCAAACGCAGCTAATAACGACCCCTTAAAATCGGCACGCGTTACCGCCCGTTTCATGAAACTGTTATTTTGAAGTGTTGTGTTAAAATTAGACAAATAATTGTTTTAGAGACCATATAGATGTATTTGTATTGCAAATATTTATTACTTGCTTTTGTGTGTAAACCAACTATTTAAAGAATATATTAAGAACATTTTATCGTGGGAGTCCTGAGATAGCGCATATATTATAGTGTCTCGCTCCCGACTACGTAAGGTCACCTTATTTCTTTTTAGCAGAAATAGAAAATAATAAAAATAAAGCAAATCTTTTTTAGCAATTTTCTTCCTGTCACCTACCTATGTTGTTGTTCTGTTAGGATTTGACAAGTATTTGATTAGGTTTTGTTTGTTTGAATTTCCATTTTTCTTGTTGTAATGCATCAATTAATAAGTAGTAGGTATATTTGATTAGTTAGTATGTCAAGCTTTATTTGAGCTGTTAGCACTATATATTTCTAGTATCGATAGCTATGTAAATCAACTTTGTTCGTAGGTAAATATTTTGATGGACATCATAGCCTTGTTATACAAACGCCTCAGCACCTCAATATACCGACAGTGTCTTGTTGTCAGTGTCGAATTTGTCACCGTTGAATGGCCTGGAGTATCGCCCAAATTTCGACAGAATCGAAGGCTTTCTCATAGTCCACATAGGCTAGGCACAAAGGCAGATTATACTCTTTGGTCTTCTGTATAATCATCATTGAAACTATTTTTAACCACAAGGTTGTCTAGAAGAGATCGCTCCTTAGCGATAAGACCGCCTTATTGTTTATACCTCTTAAGTTTATAGTTCTGTAACATTTCCTTTTATGTTTTTTTGGTGTTCAATAAAGTATATATAATAATTGGATGTATTAACATTAATGGCGAGTACATCACCCACCTTCGATTTGCCGACGATTTAGTCATCATAGCAGAATCGCTAGACGACCTTGGTACTATGCTCAATGACCTGAACAGTATCTCCCAACGGGTAGACTTTAAGATGAACCTGGACAAGACGAATATTATGTCTAATCTCCTTGTCACGCCTATACCGGTTGTTGTTGTGAGCACTAAACTCGAAGTTGTTGACGAGTATATTAAACTAAAAATATATAGTACTTGAAAAAAAACTAAAAAAGATGCCAGTTATTAAAGATATTCTTATTTTTTGCCCTATTAAGATGCGTCCATCTTACATGCGCACACTTTGCCCCATGAACGACCTATTAACTTTTTGTAGACAAGTAGTCACTCACCATCAGGTTAACCGGTTGCTCATTTACAAATTTGTCAAATAAAAAAAATATAACGATATTAAAACAAAGGTTGACCACGGTATTTTGACTCAAAAACTTGGACATGCTGGTTTATGTGGTTCTTTACTGAGATAGTGTGAATCCTATCTTCAAAATCGCTCGCAGCTTATTAATGTGTATTAAAGACTGTAGGTGGTCGGCCAAAATAACATAGTGAGGATAGCATAAACAACTTTACATATTAATTAGACTACTTCCTACTTATTAGGACAGAGTAACGTCCTATACAAAGGATAAGAGTGTTCTACCCTATCACTTTTTTTTTTTGGCTTGATGAGCCTTAGGGGCCTTTACAGTTTCGCCGGACTTGAGGTGGCCGGGCGCTCGGGGCGCCTAGCCTGAACCTCGGAACCTATCACTGAAACATTATGCGCTTATATATAAAAACATAATGAGTCATCACAACTACATTACAAATCAATGCACTTTTCAAATTACTAATACAGTTAATAGGATTGACCTATTAAATTATAAATTATTATAAATTATTAAGCATGATTTATTATATAATATTATACCAGATATGGTTCAATGTTTATTAAGCGTAATTGTTATTGCTCGTATATTAAGCAGTGTTGCCAGTGGATTGTAACATGTGCGTGGTTTTAAATCTCCACTAAAACCAGTCCCCTCTGGCGTGCCTCAAAGTTCACATCTTGGACCTCTTCTCTCTGTTTTATTTATGAATGACCTTTGTTCCATAATAATTTCAAAATGTAAACTGTTTGCAGATGATTTAAAAATATAAAGAGTAATAGAATCTGACGACGATATTTTATCTATGCAAAAAAATCTTGACTCCCTTAGCATTTGGTGCAACAGGAATAAAATGGTACTTAATACTTCTAATTGTTTCCATATCAAATTGACCCGTAAACGAAGATCGAACCATACTAAATATACGACTAAATATACGACTAAATATACGGTATATATAATATATAGGCGATATAGTTAGCCGAAGTTTCAAGTATAAGTGATTTGGGAATTGTAGATCAATAAACAAAAAACACCGAGTTCAAACAAACTATGAAAACAATGAAAACATTGTCAACACCTATGACGTTTGAGGCTTGCCCTCGATTTCTCTGGGATGCCATCATCAGATCCGGGTTTCTTTATCATGGTACCACCCTTGGGATATCTCCTTTCTGACGAAAAAAGAATCATCAAAATCGGCTCATAAACCACGAAGTTATCCGCGAACGAATTGAGAAACCTCCTTCTTTTTTGAAGTCGGTTAAAAATTAGATTTTCACTAACACATAGATTACACCGTTAAAAAGGGAGTTAAGCTGGCAGGCTTTGTAATAAGACAGACAAAAACTTTCAGGGACTTTGAAATAGCAATCATCCTTTTCAATTGTTATGCTCGAAGCTTATTGGAATATTGTTCACCTGTTTCGAGCCCCTCTTACAGTGTTCACATCTATAGGATTGAAAGAATTCAAAAGCAATTTTTGTACAATTTGTCTTTCGCTAATAATCTGGCCCATATTTTTTAAATTCTTACACCCATCGACTACGATACTTTGAAATGAAAACTCTCTTCGAACGGCGCAGAGCCACGGATATTACTTTTCTTTATAAAATATTGCACGGCATAATAGATTCCCCTGAACTTCTTTCAAAATTAAATATTAGTTTACCACACGCTGGTGGTCGTATACAGAGACGGAAGGTATTAGCCCTGCGTGTGTTGATATTTAGCCACTTATTTTATTTTATTTTTTTATCTTATATATAAAAATGGATTCGTTCGTTAGTCTTGCTAAAACTCGAGAACGATTGGACCGATTTGGCTAATTTTGGTTTTGAAATATTTGTGGCAGTCCAGGGAAGGTTTAAACGATGAGAAATTATGAAAAAATTGCATAGAAATTCGAAATAGCAACTATTTTATTTTCCCATACAAACTGTACCTGTCAACCTGTCAACTATATCT